ACTGTGCTTGATTGGCCAGCAAACTCGCCTGACCTGAATCCCATAATCTATGGGGCATTGCCAGAGAAAGATGAGAGACATGAGACCAAACAATGCAGAAGAGCTGAAGGCCGCTATTGAAGCATCCTGGTCCTCCATAACACCTCAGCAGTGCCACAGGCTGATAGCTTCCATGCCACGCCGCATTGAGGCAGTAATTGCTGCAAAAGGGGACCAAACCACGTACTGAGTACATATGCATGCTTATACATTTCAGAGGTCCGATATTGTTCTATGTACAATCCTTGTTTTATTGATTGCATGTAATACTCTAATTTTCTGAGATTGTGGATTTGGGGTTTTCATGAGCTGTAAGCCATAATCATCACAATTCTGACAAATCACAGCTTGAACTATCTTGATTTGCATTTAATGAGTCTATCTCATATATTAGTTTCACCTTTTAAGTTGAATTACTGAAATAAATGAACTTTTGCACGATATTCTAATTTTTCGAGTTTCACCTGTATACTCCGTAATCAAGGAAAGATGTAAAAAGGAAACTCATAGCGTGAATGCAATAAAAACCATTTATTGGGTAGAAAGTATTGCACTCACATGAAATAAATGAAAGCATGCCAAAATATCCACAATAACTGTTACGGGTATCTGCATATCACATGAAGCGAGTGTCTCATCCGATCCTCCTCGCAGCACGCGAGTGATACGTCACTTCCGGCGGGGGATGTAAGATGGATGCCTCATTACAGAATACATCGTGTGGACCGACCCTGACACGTGTTTTGTCATCTGACTTTGATAAACTACTACTGAATTAGGGGAGGTTTTCCTTTGGAGCATGTGGTGATATCTGAATGCACTTTACTCCATCAATTATCATTATGTTGTTCACGTGGTGATTTCGGTGGATCAATAAGGACTTTGCACTTTTAATTTTTCAGTTTTTTTTTTTAATATATATAATTTTTTTTGCGCTGTTTTTATTCATCATTGGTTCATGATGTGATTATTGCATTATTCACTATTAGGGCAGCTGCATGCTTCCACATTTTCTGCACTCACTTATTGACTTAGGTGAGTGATTTATTATGCATTTTTTCAGGCGTTAGATGTTTTTTTCTTTCTTTATATATTTTTACATCTCATTTGTGTGGTGAATATATGGTTTATATATTGATTTTAGTTGGGTAGTATACTAAACATATGATTTTCACGGGTCACATCAATACATCTCAGAACTCTTGATCAGACATGATGGCAAATTTTGTCCAATACTCCATGCACCTCCTCAAACCAAAGGAAATCCTTGGCTGGGCATTCAGCAAATGATCATGTAAAAGGTACCCTGTGACAAGAGAGACTGCCAAACAATTGGATTCCTGAAAGATTGTGACACACTATACACATGCACACTCCTACCACTTCCATATCAGGCACCTTTGCTGAAAAATAATGAACAATACAGGTCAGGCAGGAAGATCAACCCAGTCTATCATTTTTTTTTTTTTACTGGAAATGGCTTAGAAGTATCTGTAAAGGTTGCATGACTGTTAACAGATATCTGATTATTTCCCAAAACTGGAACTGATGACATGTATATTTAGGGATTGTGTCCAACATACAGAAAGAGCTACCATCTAATGTGTATGGTAAGATTAAAATCAACAATTGTTAAAATCAAAAGGCCAGGCAGACAGTGAAAGGCAGCCATTGAATGAAGCACACTAGCTCATGTTTTTATATGACCAAACTTTTCTTTTCTAACACACACTTTTTTGTATTTCATTCAATAGGAGCCATAATGCTGCTGACAGTGACCCCCCTGGAGAATCCAGGACCTCCTTCTCCTGTGCCACCTCCAATAGCTCCTAAGCCAGGCAAAGACAATGCACGCCTACAACGCCTCATGCGGAAAGCTGCAAAGAAAAGTGGAGCACAACCTCTTCCAACACAATCCCCTAAGTCCTTCCGTTCAACTCTTTCTCCGGTTACTGAAGGTGACATAGAAAGCCCTGAACCTACTGCTGCACAGAAACACCTGCCTCCTCCTATTACGCTACCTCCTCGTTTTCAGATCCGGGGAGTTACCCACCGGGCATCGTCTCCTTACCCGAAACAACGGAGCTTCACCTTCACTGTGCCTGAGCAACACAGTTTGAACCAATATCTCAGCCCTAGTCCAACTCCTGACACACCTTCTCCTCGGCCTTCTGGATCTAGTACCCATGACAATCCTTTTCTATTCCCTTCAGGAGGTAGCACCTCTGACCATGCTTTGCTAAGAGTCAATGCCAATGCCAGTCCACGACCTTGCACACCAAAACATGTTACTTTTAACCCAACACCGAATATGCAGCCAGTAGTACCCCTTATCACCATTTCTGATCTCCCTGTTATTGTTGTGGCTGAAACAGAACCTGGACTTGATTTTCCAAACAAAGACGAAAATATAAATGAAAATGAGGGCAACACAAATGTCCCAAATACAGAAAGTGGTCATTCCACACTTAAGAGTCCAATGCCTAATCAGCAGAGGCCCATAAACACATCCATCAGTTGTAGTACAGTTAGTTCAGAAGACAACCCAGCAGCATTGCAAGTTGCACCCGCAACCTCAGTGGCAATGAATAAAACAGAGATATGCTTGATAGTCACAGACACTTTACCCAACACAATAACTCTTCCTTTAAGGCCAACTGATGTGAATCAGACCAACGCTCCAGCTCATACCACAGATGAAGGCCTTCCATTAGTTTCAGAAGTCAAAACCACAAGTCCTCCTCCTGAAGTTAAAAGTGTATCAAAACCTGTTAAAACTGAAACCGTAATCTCAGAAACCAACGTATCCACATCTGCAAAACTTCCTAACTCAGAGGAAGGGAACATCTTAAAATCCCCAGAACGGCCAAAACCACCTCGGAAAAAAAGCCTGGTGGTGGATGGGCAAGGCTTATGAAGCACCTCGTGGTTGAGCCTGATGAGCCAACATTTCCTGAACCACAAAAGACAGAGGGGAAAGAGGGGAAAGAGGAGAAAACAGAAGAAGCCAAAGAAGCTGAAAAGGAGACTACACAACAAAGCAAAGGGCTTCGAGCCAACAAGATGTGGGATGCACTACTGTACCACATGGCCACATCCAGCAAGGGGCAAGAGAAGCCTGCACCAGCCGAAGGATCAACATCTGATGCAGCATCAGCACCAGCTCCCTCTCAGTTTCCTTTCCTGCGCTTCCGTTTACCCCTCCTTCTGCATCGACCTCGATTTGATGCGAGAAAACTAAAGGAGGCAGCAGCCCGACCACTGCGCAAAGTCACTGCCTTCTTCCACCGGCGAATCTCAGACAAAGCAACAAGCACATTCAACAGGACAGCATCAGGCTGGAGCATTAAAGGAGAGGATGCTGAGCAGGAAAAAATAGGGGAGGATGCAGCAGAAGTAAAAAATGAGTAAATAAGGAAAATTATCTATCCAAGCCATTAATACACAATATTATACAGGCGTGTAGTGTTCCACTTGTGCCATTTACTCCCTACACGATTTTTTATACATATAAAACAACATATGTAACCATGTATTGATGTGCTGTGTCGAAGTATTAAAGGGTCACTGAACATAAGTAACAAAATGGTTCATGTAATATAGTTCTTTAAATAACACTCAAGAATAAACACGTTTAAAGCCAAACTCCAGGCAAACACCGTAATACATAGCTGAAATACATAAATAAGCTAGTTTACCAGCTAAAGGATTTGCAATGCTGTCAATCCAGTCCAGAGTCTGGTTGGTGACCTCACTTTCTATAATGTAGCAACATAGCTTGGTTACCTTCCTGCCTCCAAGCTTATGACCAGACAGTGAAGGGCGACAGCAGACAGTTCAGTTTCATAGGTACTCCACACATTCCCTATGGCTAAGGATGAGGATTGTGTTTAGTTTCAATACAGAAACCCTGAGGTTTAAGGGGATGATCAAGATCTCAATAGAAAATTGATGACCAAAATAGATTTCATCTTTAATCTGACAACTCTCTCCCCGTGACCATCAATAATATGGAAAGTTATAGATAGGATTGGAGTATCTGTAAATGGAGCATACAGAAAGAAGGGGACCCACATGATATGTAATTATCGGACAAGAATTGATGGGTGACTAAATAATTACTCCTATATGGTCATCTATAACATTCATGCCCGGGTTATCTGGATGGCCACATATAGGAATACTACCAGAGATTTTAGTAAGAATAGCAACTATACTATACTATTCTAATATTCATCTCCCATGCTTCTTTTGAGGAAGTAGACCATTGGTCTAAGAAACGCATTCAACAACACATATCTCCCAATCAGCAATTGCCAAAGTAATACTGAGCCAATTAACAGGATGATCATTATCATTTGGTGCACTTCTTATAGTATATATACATTTTATGTCATTGAGAAGGAATTTTATGCATTGCATATGCCAGCATAAAATATATTGCCAAAAGTATTAGGACGCCTGTCTTTACACACATGAGCTTTAATGTCATCCTAGTCTTAGTCCATAGGTTTCAATATTGAGTTGGCCCACCCTTTGCAGCTATAACAGCTTCATCGCTTCTGGGAAGGCTGTCCACAAGGTTTAGAAGTGTGTCTATGGGAATGTTTGACCATTCTTCCAAAAGCACATGTGTGAGGTCAGGCACTAATGTCGGTTGAGAAGGCCTGGCTTGCGGTCTCTGATCTAATCCATCCCAAAGGTGTTCTATCAGGTTGAGGTCAGGACTCTCTTCAGGCCAATTGAGTTCCTCCACCCCAAACCCGCTCATCCATGTCTTTATGGATTTTGCTTTGTACACTGGCGCGTAGTCATGTTGGAACAGGAAGGGACCATCCCCAAACTGTTCCAACAAAGTTGGCAGCATACAATTGTCCAAAATGTCTTGGTATGCTGACACCTTAAGAGTTCCCTTAACCATGAAAAACAACCCCACACCATAATCCTCCCTCCATCAAACTTTACACTTGGCACAATGCAGTCAGGCAAATACCGTTCTCCTTGCAACCGCCAAACCCAGACATGCCCATCAGATTGCCAGACAGAGAAGCTTGATTTGTCACTCCAGTGTCCAGTGGCGACATGCTTTACACCACTTCACCCGGCGCTTTGCATTGCACTTAAATCCATTCCATGAACCTCTCTATGCACTGTTGTGCTAATCTGAAGGCCACATGAAGTTTGGAGGTCTTTAGCTATTGACTCTGCACACAGTTGGTGACTTCTGCGAACTGTGCGCTTCAGCATCCGCTGACCCCGCTCTGTCATATTACGTGACCTACCACTTGGTGGCTGAGTTGCTGTTGTTTCCAGTTGCTTCCATTTTGTTATAATACCACTAACGGTTGACTGTGGAATATTTAGTAGCAAGGAAATTTCATGGATAGATTTATTGCACAGGTGGCAACCTATCACGGTACCACACTTGAATTCACTGAGCTCCTGAGAGCGACCCATTCTTTCACAAATGTTTGTAGAAGCGGTCTGCATGCCTAGGTACTTGATTTTATACACCTGTGGCCATGGAGGTGATTGGAACATCTGAATCCAATGATTTGGAGGGGCGTCCCAATACTTTTGACAATATAATGTATGTTATTTTAAGTCTAGCTATGAGGGGCGTTCAAGTAAAACCGGGACTTTTGAGATTATATAATGAAAGAACAAATTTCAAGGAGTGAAAAATGCATTTAGTTTTCAACATACTCCCCTGCTACAGTTATACACTTATCCCAGCGTTTAACTAATGCCTGGAAAGCTTCGGCATAGAAAGATTTGTCAGTACGCCTAAACCATCCTAGAACAGCCTGCTTCACTTCATCAATGATTAAGTTCACCATTCGCAAGAAAATATTTGTCTCTTGTGCAATTTCATGACAGGGTATGCTTCGAATATCCAGGATCAGGCATTCCATGAGCTGAATGTTCATAGGAATGACTGCTGTGGGCTGGGAACCACCACGGTCGGGATCGTCACTGATGGACATACAGCCATCTTTGAAATGCTTACACCATTCAAATGTCTTACTGCGGGTAAGCGTCTCATCACCAGACTGTGCTTGAAGTCTTCTTTAGATATGAGCAAGTTTTACACCTTCATTCACAAGAAACTGAATCACAACATGCTGTTCCAGCACGCACTAACACTGTTGTCTGCCATCTTGATTAACGGTCAGTGGACTGGCCCACAACATGTGCGCCATCTATCAGTAATAGGACACACTTGCCACTTACTACTGCGTGTAGTACCGCCACACTAGTATCCCTTTTTATACCTGTAAAATTGAAAGTCCCAGTTTGACTTGAACACCCCTGGTAATAAATATTTGATTGAGTGGAGTACCTACGAAAGTCCCTGCCTTGTTTCCAGTTTAGTGTTTCTAGGTAAAAATTAGGATGTGGGTACCAAATGCATTTGTAGGGTAATATATCTATACAAATGTAATTATTGTTGTTGTGTTTAGTTATTTTAATGAATACATGACTGTACTATTTATCATTTTTTTGTATCTGTCTGGAGTTTTGGCTTTTAATCAGAATGCAAATAACTGGTAGTATGGGGGATGGAGAAAGGGGGAGGGGATGATATCCCCCAAGACCCATTTGTCTTCCTGCCAAGTTACTGATAACGTCAACTGTCATTTTATGCCTTCTTTAGTCTAAGATGGCAGCTAATGTAGCAGAAGAGGCTACACAACACAATTAGGTGAATTTCATATATTTCAGTTCTAGTACAGTCTTTCTTACACTTGTGAAAATTAGTAGGTGTTTAATATAACTTGCTCATTTTATGTTTTCAGGTCTTTTAATTTCCCACTTAATCTGCAGACATTAAACCTTATCTCTCTTTTTCTATGCACTGCAGGTTCACAAGATGACAATGGGCAAATACCAAATGATTATAAGAGTGGGAATAAAAAAAAAAAATATTAGGAATGGAGAGAGTCTGATACATCAGCAAAATGTACAGGTGCATTGACAATCTGCTCTTTAGTGCAAAAAAAATATTTTGCTAGTTGAGCTAAATTGTACCTGTCTCCTAGGAACAGTTGTCTTGCCAGCTGAATAAACATTCATGTCAAACTTTTTCAACACTCAAGGTACTGGTGACATCACTGAGACAGACGCACAAAGTGTCCCAGGCCCCAGTGCACCTGTTAGCTCTAAAAGCAGGTGATGCACTACAGTACCCTGTGGCCAAGGGCCTAACTCACATTGGTGACCAGTCAAGGGCTGCTTGCATGTTACTCCAAAAGAATATTGCATCAAATCTTATTTGATGTTGAAATGAAGGGCTTCATAAAGGCTAAGCACTTGGGGTGGGTCATACACGTGATGATTTTTGGTGTAATTGTAAAAACAATTTTGCAGATAGCAGCACAGTAAAAGACTATCTCAAAGGCTATGGAGACTGGAAGATTTCACTCTTTGGATTAGAAGGCGGTTAATGTAGTAGAGTTCAGTTAACACTGTGCTGTACTGCCAAAATAAGTGTTAACCTTGGAGATCACCCAACGTGCACTACATGGTAGACCAGCATGTTGGTTGAAAAATGAATAGTTCAGTTATAATTGCTGAATGACAAGATCCCCCTTGTATGACCAAGTACAATGAAGATCTAATGTTTATATGTACAATTAAGGAACTGAACGCATGCATTTAGAAAGGTTAGTCCAGCCAAAACTGATATGACAGCATTTGCTAGATGCTGAAATTGAAATCTAGCTCTGGGCTCTCCCTGCAATCTGAAGCTGTCCCCCACAATATTTATTTTCTGCCACATCTGGGTTGAATGATGCCCAGCAGAGAGATCCACCTGTAAGTGCAGGGTGTCATGGCCCCACTCCCTAAGGGGTGTCACCACACTCACAATGAAAAGTTACAGTTCAGCGTAATCGATCATCGCATCAATGCCATCCTCTCCATTATCAAAGTCCACCTAGTACATGGAGGAGACATAGGAGGAAGAAGACTCTGCGTAACACATGACGAACCTGAAGACATCTGAAAAGGTCATTATAAAAGAGCAAAACATACATATTGGGGGAAGGCTTCTCAGGGACCACAGGGGAGGCAATATGCTGGCAGGTGGGCTGGGAATGGAGTTGGATCAACTCACAATTTCTGCAGGTAAGATTTCTGTACTGAGTGTTTACACCTGTTGTTGCCATTAAAGAGGAGTTTTACTCTACATTCTGGATTTTTAATTTGATATAGTAATATTATATAGGAAAAAATGAAATGACAGAAAATGCAAAGGTAGGACAAAACTCAGAAGTAGGCAGGAACAAGGTGATCTCACTGTTGGGGTACTCAAGATGTAAGAAGGCAGAGACAACCACTCTCCACTATGCCTAAAATACTGTATCAGTTTTGATTAGACTGGCTCTAAATGCATTGTCCAGCCCTCCAAAGTTTACTTCCATCATTTAAATGACATGGACACATCAATGCCAGATAACTCAAAGTGCACCTCCTATGGTGCTCAGCTGGTAGATAGGTTAGATGACCTCAAGGAACAGTTGGAATGCAGAAGTTACCCTTTCTTTGCAAGGACTGAAAGGACAAATAAATAAATGGAACACAAGAGGAAACAGAGAAAGTGAATGATATAATCTGATATAATCTGAATAAATATAAAAAAGGAAGTAAAGAAAGACAAGAATGTAATGCCACTGGACATCTTTAATTACCTGATCAAGGCTCGTCCACTAAGATCTTCTCATATTTTCCATGTCCAACTGGAACAAACTTGTACTTTTTAGTGGGAGTCGCATTCTGCGGGAGAGAAAGAGTCAGAGGTCAATTCAGGAATAAGCGTTCTATTTTCTGTGAGCTAATAATAAGTCTTTTACGGAAGTCACAATTCCTGATTTGCCATTTAATGTAAGTCTGTTAGAGTCATTATGATTACTCCTGTAAGAAATTATATATATATAGCTTAGGACATGCATACATGTGTTTAATAAAATTGTCAGCTAACAAATGCCTTTGTTTGTATTCTAAGAACATTAGAATCTAAAGTCACTCTCAGCAGAATAGTAAGTTGGGGCCTATTCACATCTCTGTGGTGAGTTGCAGTGTACTGCCACATGCACGTTAACATGCTGCATGCCACATGTTATTGTGTGTTGCAATAAAGTGACCCTGTCTGCGCAGGATCATCAGTAGCCAAAAGTATACTTGTTAAAAAAAGAGGGAATACACTTCCATCAGCCTGTGCCTTGAAACGCATTTCCCACCTTTTACAAGTATTCTGCACTTCTGGTGGGAGAAAACCTGTGTGTGATGGAAGAGCTGATCCATTTTGGTCGAATACTTGTTGGGAGCAGTGAAGCAGCATCATTTCAACACAAAGGCCACCAGAAAGGTGAGTATATTGCCTCTTCATTTAGCGGGTATGTTTTTGATACAATTGACAGTTGACTTTTTGCCACCTCAAAGCAGGAAATGCCTGAATAAGTACCTTCATAGCAAAGTATTATACAAAGAAAGCTGCAGATTTTATGTGATTGAGAATGATTTTTAAAATGAAGTTAACATGCTAAAGCTTATATGTGGTTTTACCGATTGGTTTTAACTCTCTTCTCAAGTTAGCACTTCTCAAGTTAGCAAACCAAGCCCAGTGTGTAGCCAGCATTCTCAGAACTGAGTTGCACAAGAACTGGAGAGCCAACAGCTTCCAGCTTCCTTTTTATTGAAAGCGAATATCCTCATAAATTATACTTGGCTTAGTCTAGAGAATGCCTAGTCAGCAACTGTAGGAAACCCATTACCTGAAATGTCTCCAGGGTAGGGAGCATTTTTTAGTTTATGAATAGAAGTGTATTTTCGGCTGTGGCTGGCAGTATTCAGCTACAAATAGTATCTAAGAGATTTTCCAGGAGGGACAGTTACCCTTCCCAAAGCTACTTTATGTGTAGCTGAAATACATAAACGTTTTGTACATTTATTAATATTAAAATGTATTTAAACACTAACATTGAAATTCTCTTATTTGCTCTCTTTTGGTCTGATTAATATATTTTGTTATATCTGTTCGAAAGATCCTGACAGAAGTCTAATGAGCTTCTAACTTCCTATAGTGAGCTGACAACTGAAATCTTAGTCAATGTTATCAACCCTGACTCCTCTCTGTGCACTACAGAACACCTCCCACTGTGTAATGGAGAAGAGGAAAGGAAAAGGTGATCTACCAGTCCTAACATACTTTGTAGGGCGACAGTGCTGATCCTTCACAGATACAGTACAGTGAGTGAGTGAGCCTTGTCACCCTAGGACAAGAAGCATGTTACTTATAGGATTACCAGGTTAAAATTAAAAAAAAAAAAAACTCACAATGTAAGCACCGCATCTAAGAATTGGTAATCTGCAATATATTTCATTTATGGTCATCGGTTTAGATACACTTTAAAGCCCAACTACAGGCAACATTTTTTTTGTCCATATGACCACACTGCTTTGATCAACTGCTTGTTTTTTTCTAAGAGTGAGCACAAAGTTTATATTCACCTGATCTGCGGATCCTCCCAAAAACTGTGCTCCCCCATGGTCCAGTGGTGGACTGTTCCTGTCTATGGCACGAGCTGGAGTCAGGAACAGTCCATTTTCAAGATCGCTAGAGAGCAGGGGTGCCAGACTGGTCTTGTGCGGGGAGGATCGGAGGATCAGGCAAGTATATATTTTTGCTGTCCTCTCCCTTGGGGCTCGTTCACATTTGGCTGTTTTACCAACGCTTGCCAAACGCCCCTATAGCATTTGGCAAGCGTTGGTCTGGCGTTTGCGGAGTGTTTTTTAACGCCCGGCAAACGCTCCGCAAACGCCGCATGCGCGGTTTAGCGGCGGTTGCTAGGCGTTTGCCGAGCGTTAAAAATGCCCCACAAATGCCTATAATGCAGTTTGAATGGTGTTACCGCTCCGCAAAATGCCCCGCAACCGCGTTGCAACCGCACCGCAAACGTTTGCGGAGCGGCACCATAGACTAGAATAGGAGGCTTCAATGCCTCCTGACTCGACCAGAGGCGTCCGTTTTGCCGCGACGCAACTCGACGCAAACGCTCCCGTTAGAACAGCACCATGTGCTGTAATGTGCAGAATCAGCAGAGGCATTTGGGAAGCGGTAAAAACACTTCCCAAATGCCTCTCTGCCGCCTGCACACAACGCTAGTGTGAACGTAGCCTTAGAATAAAATGAGCAGTTAACAAAGAAAAAAATTTCAAGATTGCCCAGCTATAAGTAAAATGAATGTATGTGATGATATTTGTTTTTTCTTCTTTATTCTAGTTCTACTGTATTTTCATGGCCAGGGCTAAAAAAAAAAAATGTGTAATGAAAAGAAATAATTTTCTTTTTTGTAATATTTTGGATTTGTATATGCTGCCAGCAGGTGGCACATTAAGCATGTTTTCCAAATGTTTTCTTCCCACTTGCTGAAAAGGTTTGTTGTTTAAAGTGCTCAGTAAATCAAGGTAAACTTTACATACAGAAGGAAATGAGTCACGCCAATGACAGGTAACACACACCTCTCAATTTTCTGAAATGAGAAATCGGGATGAAATATATAGTCTGAAGACACACTTTTTTCATGCAAAAAAAAAATCTTCAGTTAAATCCTTTTGTGGGACTACATTTCCTTTAGACTGATTTTTTTGTAATAAGTTAGAACCCGGGTCAATGTAAAACAATGCTTTTAGTAGTTGAAGCTGAAGTCCAGGAATTATTTGTATTGCATACCTACATTGGTTTAGCTTGGCACAATGCAAGTATGCATTATTCATACATGAGGGTCCACTGGGGAACCTAGAAATCACTGCAGTAGTCAGTGCTACTACAGCGATAACCATGATCTTCCAGGTCAGATTCTATGCAAGCAGCTGCCCCACTGCATACTGACTCACTCGGCACGGTCTTCAGTCACATTGTATTCAATGAATGCAAGGCATTCTCTGACTGGATGAGAAGTGACATCATGATCTCCACCTTATCCAATCAGAGCATGCCTTGTATTCACTAAAACGAAAATACAAGGTGTTCTATGAATGGCAGCAGTGCTGAGCAAGGGACTCCCTGTGATCACTGTACAGGGGCAGCTGCTTGCATAGAACATGAGCATGAACCAAAAGATCACGGCTATTTCTGTAGTAACACCAACTACTACAGTAATTTCCAGCTTCCCCAGCAGCCCATCTGATAGACGTACTGCATACTTATTTTGTGCCAAGCTAGACCAATGTAAATATGTGACACAAATAATTCCTGGAGTTAAAATTTTAGTACATTTTATCATAGAGGTCTACACATCAACCAGAAAGGGAGACAACTGGGAAGGAACAGAGGAACCTGGTTTTAAAAGCGGAAAACGTCCCAAGTTATGGACAATTGGAAGCTAAGAGTAAGATCAAAGCTGTCAGCGGCACTTTTCTTCGAGCAAATCATATCTCCCTGAGTAAAATTGGGGTAACTTACTTTAAAGTGAACCAGTGTCTTACCCATGCAGTGCAAAGCAACAGGTTGGTGTGTACCCCCAAGAGCACATACTCAGATTTCCTTCACTTCTCGCTACTCTATTTAGCCATGGGGAGCAAAGGAAATCCTGTGCACATAACAGCATGCGACCCACGTGGCAATGTTGGTGAATGGGGTGTGAAAGAAAGGTAACTATGAGCTGGGAATAGAAAAATATAATTCATGGGCAAACCACAGGTTTTATTTATTACAGGTACTTATACAGCACCATCAATTTACACATTTATATTGTACATTCACATCAGTCCCTGCCCTCAAGGAGATTACAATCTAAAGTCCCTAACTCACATTCATACACATACTAAGACCAATTTAGACAGGAGTAAATTAACCTACCAAGCACGTCTTTAAAGTGTAGGAGGAAACCGGAGTACCAGAGGAAACACACGCAGACATGGGGAGAACATGCAAATTGCAGGCAGGTGGTGCCATGGTTGGGATTAGAACCAACAACCCTAGTGCCGCTAGGCAGAAGTGCTCACAACTTTGCCACTGCGCTCACTTTACCAAGACTTTGTAGGTATCAAGAAACCAAAAAAATAGCCTTTTCATTGCAAAGATATTTTAATGTCACCTTATTATTTTGTCCTGACTTGGAGCCCTGTTCCCACAAGCTCTTCTTGCTCAATACTTCTCCTGGCGTCACTTCCTGCAACCAGAAATCACAACTTATAAAGGTGTCACTTTTTCCACATGGCAAAGCACATTTGCAGGGAGTACGTTAGCTTACTGAGAGTTTTGGAGGGGATGCCTGGTCATCTGGTTCTGGCTTTCCTTTACCCCATTGATTAATCATGTCTGACACACCAATGTTGATGCCCTCTGTATCCTGTTTAACAAACAATACATACAATGTGCAAGAAGTTATTACCACAGCAAATTAAACGAGCAGCCAACATTTGAAAATAAACATAATATGTACAGGAAATAGAGATGACATAGGAGTCTTATTTTATAACAGGTTTTGTCAAACAGAAAGCACATTATTTATTAGATGGTAAGGAGAGCATATGAACATTGTTAGGCCCCCTTGCACATGGGGTATCTAGCACCCGTACGTCCCATCTTGGCGTTCTGGCCTGCCCAGGAGGGACAGGTGCAACATTCAGCTCCACTGCCTGCAACCTATCAAAGTTCATGGCAGGCTGCGGCTCGGCTGGGAGCTCCACTGCCAGCAACCCGCCAAAGTTTATGACAGACTGCAGCTCAGCAGGGAGCTCCACTGCCTGCAACCCGGCAAAGTTTATGGCAGGGAGCTCCACTGCCAGCAACCCGTCAAAGCTTATGGCAGACTGCGGCTCGGCAGGGAGCTCCACTGCTTGCAACCCATCAAAGTTCATGGCAGACCGCGGCTCAGTAGGGAGCTCCACTGCATACAACCCATCAACTTTCATGGCAGACTGCGGTTTGGCAGGGAGCTCCACTGCCTGCAACCCATCAAAGTTCATGGCAGACTGCGGCTCGACAGGGATAAACTCTGTACTAAAATCTGCACAGAATGGACCTTGCATTTGAGGCACTATGCTAAGTGCTCTGAAGTCTTCTGCAAGTGTCTAATTAGTGTCAGTGTTGGTCCAGCTCCACCAACCCTCACCCACCTACATAATCTCCTATGTTACCTGCAGCTAGCTTTGAGCTGCCATTGCTGACCCTAGTCAGCAACTTATCTGGCTGTCACGTTGATCCAATGACTTCTATACATTCTGGGTCAATAACACAGAACAAGCTTTAGCCTGGGTTCACATATATGCAGGTCGGTATATCACATGTGATTCGCACAGGAAATGCACCGCATTCCTAAATGCAAATCACATGCAACTTGTGTGCGGTGCAATTGGAGCCATACATTTTGTATGGCTCTAAATCGCACCTCATCCGCACCAAAAAGGTGCAGGACCCTTTTTTGGGTCTGCACTAGAATCAAATCGCATGGGTATTCACACCTATGTGATCCGATTCTGCACATTGCACCGCGTTTTGTGGACCTTAACTTAAACATACACACCCACAGCAGTTCGCTGCGATTCTGATGCGGTGCAGAATTCGCACAGAAACCGCAGCGAATTCCGCACCGCATCAGTGCAAACCAGGGGTGAAGCAAGTAAAAGGTGAGTGGAGTCAGAACTCCATAACTGCATATTTGTTATAAGTCATTGACACAAAGAACTGAAGCCATTGTATCAGCATAAGAAGCCAGGCACCTAGCATTTTCAACTGAGGTCAGCAAGACAGCTTCCATACTTCTCTCAGAACAGGTTGTGTTAGGAAACATCTGGAGAAGCATTTGAAGTATGGACTATAAATGAAGCAGGGAGTACATGTTTATACACTACATAGATGTCATACCTTGCAAGGGGATGTCTTGGAGGCTGCAGTGACATCTCCAGCCTCCCATCGGTTCTTTATGTTCGATACAGCATCTGCAGGGTTTAGCATCTCTAAAGATGGCGTCCGAACTAAGCGGCCTGGTTTGCCAGATGTCTACGGAACAAGGAGAGAAAATAACAAGAAGGGAATCAGCAAATATTAAAATATGTGTAAAAGCAGCAGGATGGTAATAAAATATAACACTGAAAATCTCAGGAAAGCAACAACCATGGAGGTCTAGTATACAGGTATGTGAGTATACCAGTGCCAGCTAACCTCCATGTGTGTCCAAGGACCAAATGAGCCCACCTAAAGCGATGATGAATATCTCTTTATTATTGTAGAAATTTGATGAGGTCTGCTTCATCCCATGCTGTAATAACAAATGTTGTATGCAGAACACAGCACTGTTACACAAGCACTGCCCTCTGGAGAGCAGTCTGCAGTGGATCGCTTTTATGCAGGCCATAGACGGGGAGAAAACCAGCCGATGTTTTGGCCGAAAAAAAAAATTGGCCGATTTTCGGATCGTTAGTGGGGTAATCAGTCGGCCGTTTTTTGTGATTTTGACACTTTTTTTTTTTAATCGGTCATGTTGGGGGGAAAAAAAAAAAAAAAAAAAAAAATCGGCCAATTTTATCCTTCAGCCGATTTTCGCAGCAATGATGGACAAATCAGCCGATCTTTTTACCGGTTTTAAAAAATGCGCATGAGCAGTGACCGGCAAGAAGAAGGAAAAGAAGAAATAGAATATGAATAAGAAGAAAAGAAGAAATAGAATATGAATAAGGAGAAGAAAAAGAATAGGAATAGCAAGAAGAAGAAAAAAAGAATTTCAGTCCGATATTATATTTGACATTTAAAAGTAAAGCAACATTGTATCTATTTGTATCCGAATAGAAACATCTGTATCCGAAATGGATACAAATATATACAATGTTGCAACTTTTTCTTCTACTTCTTAATATTCTATTTCTTATTTTCTTCTTATTATTCATATTCTATTTCCTCCTCTTATTAATATTCTATTTCCTCCTCTTATTCATATTCTATTTCCTCCTCTTATTCATATTCTATTTCCTCCTCTTATTCATATTCTATTTCCTCCTCTTATTCATATTCTATTTCCTCCTCTTATTCATATTCTATTTCTTCTTTTCTTATTCATATTCTATTTCTTCTGTCAAATATAATAGCTGAGCTCTCTGCAGGGACACCGCTATTATATTTGCCGGCTGTAGACGGGACGAAAATCTGCCGACTGTTTATTACCAATGGTGGTAACGTCAGCCGACTGAACGACCGTTTTTTTCATTTTTCTAAAAAAAACAAAAACGTCCGGTCTTCTCCCCCATCTATGGCCTGCATTAGAGGGCATTTGACAGGTGGTGGGGAAGTAATATGTCACCAGCTGTTTAAATCCCTTAGCCATAGACCTAGATTACATTTGCAGTTCAAAAGGTGGTAAAACAGACAGTTCAGCAGCATTTTGTCACCTCAACTGTCACCCCCTCCCCTTCCCAAGGTGCAAAGACAGCATCATGCATCATGTTGCATCAAAGATCATCCTCTCCATCATGGTTAGTGGGCAGAGCCATCCTCCAAATGCAACCCATTCAATTGAAGGGGCCTTGCCCCAAACACATGCTTTGAGAGGTTAAAACAGGTGATGAGGAGGAGACATACCACTTGATCACTGCCTGTCAAATGCCCTCTGTAAAGCAATCTATTGTGGATCACTCCTCACGGGGGTACCACAAATGCATAAAAACCCTTAGGCCCCATGCACAATGGGTGTTTAGCACAAGCACATGAGGCTCTAGGGCTTTAGCTGCAGCAGGGGGGGGCACAGGTGCACCATCCAGTCCAGTAGCCTATGGAAGTCTGACAGCTATTGTGGCTGGACGGTGCACCTAGTGGTACGTATGTTTAGGGCAGTATACGCCCAGGGGCAATTGGCCAGATGGGAAGCAGTTGGAACTCTGGGCCTTCATTCCCAAGCAGGCCTGGAGTGGCCGTAGGCATTTACCCGGTGAGCCGGGACCACCTGGATAGGAGGGGCGGTGGGGGCGGCATATAGAGTAATTGATCTGTCCATTTTCCTCTTGTCACCACTGAATGCCCACTTTTCCTCTTCCTTCTGCAGGCATTCAGAGGCTGCAGGAGAAAAATCCTTGTCTGAATGGACAGTCAGTGATCGGTACCAATTACTGACTTTGTCCATTCATAACTGAGGCATAGTAGACTGTGTTTACTATACTTCAGCTTATGAATGAACAGGAAGCTCTGTACAGAGCTATTGCTGTCATTCTCTGCTGCTGAGGCTGCAGAGATGGGGATTGAGGGCTGTGTCCTCAATCTCCTTTCTCTATCTCGAAGTTGAGATGTCAGGGTCTGCTGAGACTCCTGATATCTCACCAAAGCTCCCCAACGGGGCTCCTAAATAAATTGTAAAAATTAATAAAAAATAAAATTGTAAAAAAATAAAATACATTTAAAATGCTAAAAACTACTGACACCAGTGGCAGAACTACCAGGGTCTCAAAGGTCACACTTGCAATCAGGCCCTGGCTTTCTGCCACCAGGCTCCAAGGGAAGGACCCCTGGGCTTGGGGCTGCTTAGTCTAAAATGCCCAGACTTATTTTTTGTCTCAGTCTGGGCCTGTCCCCAAGTACAAATTGCCCCAAAGGGGCATAACTACAGGGGTCACAATTGCGACCTAGCCCCATGCAACCCATGTGGCTCCCCTGTATACCTGGGTAGGAGGGCGGCATATAAAGGAGCCATTCTCCTTCTGCAGCTGCTGAATGTCTGCTTCTCTCCTCTCCCTCCCGCAGGCATTAAGTGGCTTCAGGAGAAGGGGATGTGTCAGGATAGAGAACAGGGAAGGAGAGAGAAAAATATATCATTTACCAGCCACTTCCTTTTCTGAATGGAGAGTCAGTGATCTGTACCGATCACGGACTCCGTCCATTCATAACTGAAGCATAGTAAACTGTGTGTACTATGCTTCAGTTTCTCAATGAACAGGAAGCTCTGTACATTCTGTCCATCCTGTCCATTCATTCTGTACAGCTGAGGCTGCTGAGAAGGAGATTGCGGGCTACGTCCTTAATCTCTTTTCTTTGTCTCAAAGGTGAAACATCACAGGTCTGTGACCCCTGATATCTCACCAAAGCCCCCCAATGGGACTGCTAAAAAAGAATACAATAAATAAATAATATTGTAAAAAAAAAAAAAAAAAAAAAATAGTAAAAAAAATATAAAAAAATAACTGCTGATGCAGTCTTGGAGGAAAGAAAGATTAGGTCTCAACTATGGCTCGGATGGAAGGACCCCGGATGGGGTCAGGAGGCCCTGAAGTTTCTAGTTATGCCTCTGCCCAAACAGAGGCACCATTAAGTGAATCACATGGGAATCACAATTATTGAGACTGACACAATCCCAGCTTGGTTGCTCAGGCCTGCTTGAATCACTGAGAGATGTGCAATCTTATAACAACAAAATTAAAAAAAAACTGACACCAGCGGCTGAACTACCAGGGTGCAAAGGTCACACTAGCATTCCGCCACCAGGCTCGGATGGAAGGACCCCGGATGGGGGTCAGGAGGCCCTGAAGTTTCTAGTTATGCCTCTGCCCAAATAGAGGCACCATTAAGTGCAACATCCAACCCCATCCAGCCACAGCAGCTAACAAGCTCTCATAAAATTTGACAGGTTGCCAGCCTGCTTGAATCACTGAGAGATGTGGAAATCTTATTTGTTTTAAGCTTGCAGACATTTACCTCTATTGCATGTGTGTACTGTTCCAGGCGGTCATCGATCTTGTGTATTGGCAGAGGCGGTTCGCTTCTCTTTATACTGTTACTGTAGGTAATAAAGAATATAATGATTTCTATACAATAGACAAGGCAAGATAGATATAGAGCTTATAGCCTAGAAATATTTGTGTTGAAGTGATGTCAGCAGTTCTCAGTAAGTTGACAAACCCCCCTCTTAATATATAGAGTCCTCAGGTCATAAAAGACTCCTTAGTCTCAGTGTAGGTGACACATATGCCTTAGGCAATGTTCTTGTATTGAGCTCATAGTTGTGTTGGTGAGACAGCTATTACACAGCATGATGCAAATCCAAACTATGTGTCTAAAGCCTTTTGGATTTCATGCTCTTACTGCCAGAGGCATTGGGAAGAGGTCCAAAGACATGAGTAGTTCCTGCTACTGTGATATGGACAGGGATCAGAAGTGAAATGTGCTTCTCCATTCCATTTACTATTTAGATCATTTCAAAAAGTCATTAAATGTTTATTATTTTAACTCCATTCTTATCTAAATTATACAATTAATTAATTATTTAAAGTGTCATTAAACCCACATCATTAAAAACTATGAAAAAATGCTGTAATGCATACTGACCATACTCACTCATTCACTATGGGATTCATTTTCTGTATTTTGCAAAAAACCTGGTTGATTCCGCTGTTCTCTATCTCCCCATTCTGTCCATGTCTCCAATGTAGTTGGGGATTTTGCAGAGCAGTGTTGGCAGCAACTGCACATGCTCAGTTTTCAGTGAGTTTCTATGCTGAGCATTTCCTCCCTATCACGTCTGAGCAGCCATGTGACTATAGGGTCTTCTATGTGGGTGTATATACAGTGGTAAATGACAGCCCACTTCCTCCCTCCTCCTCCATGCACAGTAACCAGCTAAACACAACAGGTGTAGGATATTACATATTGATTGATGGGGGCTTCACCTCCATTTTATTCTAAGACACAGGCTCGAGGGGTGTGACACAGATACAATTAATAATACAAATAATACAGATTGGGTTTCAAATATATATATATATATATATATATATATATATATATATATATTTATGACAAATTAAAACAGTTTATTGATATTATTTATTTTTCTCAGTATCCCAAAGGCTGCTTTTTTTAACATGTGACCAGCAGCAGAGGACTAGAAACTCCTCCTGCCACTGTTTCCCTGCAGACAGGCTAGGAAGGAGTTGGGTCATGTGGCAACTGTATATCGATTAGGAAAAACGCAACTTTAAGATTTTTTTTTTATTAAAATAATTACAGAGTCATCATCCAAATACAGAAAAAGAATGGATAATATAAATTAAACAAATCGTTTTTAGTATCACTTTAAGTGTTTCTAAATTAAAAATGTTTTCTTTTAATTCTTATACAAAGTAGAAAAGGGTTAGAACCCCTGTCATGTTTTGCTCGGGAGATTCAATCTTATTATTTGACCTGTGACCATTACCACCAGGACTATAAGTAATGGAAAAATCCAAGGTTTTTAGTTGTCATCAGCTCGACATGCATCAATGGGGACACTTGTTGACAACTGTCTAAAAGGGGATTTACCTTATTTTTAAAGAGGTTTCCTTACTTCCTGTTGTGTCTACAGGGAACAAAGTGCAAGAAAGATCTCTTGAATGGGACAGAGATGGCAAAAAACGATAGCACAAAGCACCACATTTAATGCATTGCCATGCATTACCATAGCGAGATATAGTGCAAATGTATAAAGTAGAATGCAGTGAAGAGCAAAAGCTAAAGTGTTTATAAATCCAAGAACAAGAATATCCTACATTGCAGACTAATAGACCTAAGATATAGTGACTGCATACTTTTTTTTAAATCTTTTTATTTCCATCTGCCAGCATCACACTTTCTGTCTTTGGATGACAACACTCACTAGTAATTGAGTACTTTATTTGCCGTTGTCACCCTAGAATAGAAAGTGTGCAAGACCCTACTGTCATAACCTCACCTTTAGGAAGACTGAGAGAACCTCAAGCTGGGTGCAAACAGGGATAAGGCCAATGCTGATGGGCTTTTGTATATCTCCAGAACCGTTTCCTCGCCAGTACAAGTTAATAGTAGCTGAAGCAAATGAAAGTCATCTGCACTTTCATTGAATTTCACGTAGTTACATAGTTAGTCTGGCTGAAAAAAGACAAAAGTCCATCCAGTTCAACCATAAAAAAAAAAAAAAAAAAAGTTATAATCCTATACCCACAGTTGATTCAGAGGAAGGCAGAAAAAAACCCATCAAAGCATGATCCAATTTGCTCCTGCTGAGAAAAAAAAATTCCTTCCTGATCCCCCGAGAGGCAATTGGATATTCCCTGGATCAACTTTACCTATAAATGTTAGTATCCAGTTATATTGTGTGTATCTAGGAAAGAATCCAGGCCTTTTTAATGCAATCCATTGAGCTGGCCAGAACCAACTCTGGAGGGAGTCTATTCCACATTTTCACAGCTCTCACTGTGAAGAAACTTTTCCATGTTTGGAAATTAAATCTCTTTTCCTCCAGACGTAAAGAGTGCCCCCTTGTCCTCTGTGATGACCTCAGGGAGAATAACTCTACACCGAGTTCACTATATGAACCACTGATGTATTTATACATGTTGATCATATCCCCCCTTAATCTCCTCTTCTCAAGACAGAATAAATTCAGTTCCTCTAATCTTTCCTCATAGCTGATCTCCTCCATGCCTCTTATCAGTTTGGTTGCCCTTCTCTGTACAAGTATGTTTCATTTGATCTCAGAAGCGCCTCAAACGAATGACAAAAGCATGCTGTGTTCGTCTACCGATGTCCATAACCTTTGGAAGATCTGAGCCGCACCACACTTAGCTCCTCCTGCTGTGAGCAAGCTAAGAGCGGTTGGCACCCCAAATATATGAGTGGGTTGACCCCTGAAGTCAGGATGATTTGAACATTTTTATAAGGTGAGACACATACCTCTTCTGGATGGAACGATTCAGAATCTCTGCTCTCTCAGTTATCTACAGAGAAGGAAATAAATATATTTCTTTAATGTAACACTCTAGTTTGTATTATTCAGTCACTCTTACAAAATGACCAAATCCATGGCCAACTGCCATTACCAAATATTATTCCAGCTAGGTAGTGACCATTGCACTAGAGCTCTGGAGGCCTCATTAATTGAGGTGCTACACTGATTGTATAGCTATATGTACATGATCAACTTTGTTAAATGGAACAGAAACAACTGAGTAATGTCCATGACACTATTTTATTTGCACTCACATACAATTTTTCTGGAAAAGCTTTTGGGGTATGTCCCCTTCTTCAAGGTCCAAGCAGTACTAATACATTAGTACTACCTACAGTAATACCCAAAATTGAAACATACTTGTTGATATTGAACATATGCTCTGAAATCACTCCCAGGTCCTCTTTCATCATCGATTTACCCAGCTGATTCTGTTATATTATAATATTATAAATTGCTTTTAAAGTGTAGGTCAAGGCAAGTTTGTTTTGTTCATTTTGGAGTTGGAAAGGGTTACACCCTCTGTCACCCCTATATTTGGATTAGTGAATGTGGTCATTGAGACAAAAAGTAGTGGGAAATTTTAGAGTTGTCCCCTGAGCAAGAAGTAAAATCCTCCATTTAGGACACCAGTCCCTATCAGGGGCGGACTGACAACTCATGGGGCCCCCGGGCAACAGGGGATCATGGGGCCCTCGTGTCCTTGCCCACACTCAAAGCACACCCAAAAAAAGCCTATAAAAAAAAAAGGTACCAGGGGCATTTCACGGGGCCCCCTACTGACCCCAGGCCCTCGGGCAGTGCCCGAGTGCTCTAATGGTCAGTCCACCCCTGGTCCCTATGATAATTCACTAAAGCTGGGTAGACATGCACAGAAATTTGAACAGTTCAGAGTCAGCCAGCCAAACCTAAGTATGTGTGTACTGCTGTCTGTTCATAGGAAGCCAGTCGTATGACCAACTTCTATCAAATAGCCCTGCTGGAAAAAACAGCATTCGGTCAGCTACTGCAGTGCTGATCTGTGTATTCTTGTGGGGAAGGCAGGGGGAGTCTGTCAGAATAGTGCAATGGGGGAGATCCCTGCATCCACCGTCCACATCGCTTGTGTGGATGCAGGGATCTGTGTGTGCCCTGCCTAACGTTTAACGCAGTGTTTCTCAACTCCAGTCCTCATGGCCCCCAACAGGTCATGTTTTCAGGATTTCCCTCAGATGAAACAGCTGTGGTAATTACTAAGGCAGTGAAACTGATCAAATCACCTGTGCAAAATAATGGAAATCCTGAAAACATGACTTGTTGGGGGTCCATGAGGACTGGAGTTGAGAAACACTGGTTTAACTGAACGCCTAAAGGGAAGTTCCACATTTCTGCCTCCTCCACCCCTTCATCTTTTGGACATTTTTCTTGGAGGGGGGGAGCTGGTGACGTTACTTGTGATGAAACCCATAGGGTTGAGCCACCCACACACGCTATTGTGCATGTGCGAACGGCCGGTGGCCATTTTGGAAACTGGAAATTTTGGAATTTTTTTTGCCAATCAATGCCTAATGATGTTTGCTTACATGTGAGTGCAACCATACTTTAAATAAATGTTGTGATTATGGTTTTATACTATGTGGAGCGTTTTTTCTTTGCATGTTTTCCACTAAGAGTCCAAGCCTCATCCTGAATGGTTTAGCTACCCTAATTAAGGTCCATTGTTTGGAAGATCCTTATCTGCTGTTTTAGTGATCTGGATGAGGATTCCAGTGACTGGCTTTCTGGATTTTTAACAAAGCACGATTGACCACTCTTAAACAGGGGGTCATGCCTTTCTGGTAAGCCTTCTGTAGTAGTGGTTTGTGACAGGACAACTGTCCTTGGATTTCTTTTGTTTCATCACAGCCTCTGGGACTTTAAATTTTATTTTATTTTTGGATGGACTATTTTTTTGACACATTTTTCACTGTTTTCTTATGATTATTTGTAACTTTTTAAGCGCTGCACTTATGTATTTATTGCTGATTGCCTAGTATCGGGGGTTTTGTGTTCAGCTGCTATATGTTTTACACCTCATTTTTGATTAGTGATTATCTATTGTGGTTCTTTTTAGCGCAGGTTTATATATATATATATATATATATATATATATATATATATATATATATATATATATATATATATATATATATATATATATATATATATATATATATACCGTATTTTTCGCTCCATAAGACGCACCTGACCATAAGACGCACCTAGGTTTTAGAGGCAGAAAACAGGAAAAAAAAAATTCTGAACTAATGGACTGTAGACATAGTACAGGAGATGACCAGAGACTGCGGACACAGTACAGGAGATGACCAGAGACTGCGGACACAGTACTGGAGATGACCAGAGACTGCGGACACAGTACTGGAGATGACCAGAGACTGCGGACACAGTACAGGAGATGACCAGAGACTGCGGACACAGTACAGGAGATGACCAGAGACTGCGGACACAGTTCAGGAGATGACCAGAGACTGCGGACACAGTACAGGAGATGACCAGAGACTGCGGACACAGTACAGGAGATGACCAGAGACTGCGGACACAGTACAGGAGATGACCAGAGACTGCGGACACAGTACAGGAGATGACCAGAGACTGCGGACACAGTGCAGGAGATGACCAGAGACTGCGGACACAGTGCAGGGGATGACCAGAGACTGCGGACACAGTACAGGGATGACCAGAGACTGCGGACACAGTACAGGAGATGACCAGAGACTGCAGACATAGTACAGGAGATGACCAGAGACTGCAGACACAGTACAGGAGATGACCAGAGACTGCAGACACAGTACAGGAGATGACCAGAGACTGCGGACACAGTACAGGAGATGACCAGAGACTGCGGACACAGTACAGGAGATGACCAGAGACTGCGGACACAGTACAGGAGATGACCAGAGACTGCAGACACAGTACAGGAGATGACCAGAGACTGCAGACATAGTACAGGAGATGACCAGAGACTGCGGACATAGTACAGGAGATGACCAGAGACTGCGGACATAGTACAGGAGATGACCAGAGACTGCGGACATAGTACAGGAGATGACCAGAGACTGCGGACATAGTACAGGAGATGACCAGAGACTGCGGACAGAGTACAGGAGATGACCAGAGACTGCGGACAGAGTACAGGAGATGACCAGAGACTGCGGACACAGTACAGGAGATGACCAGAGACTGCGGACACAGTACAGGAGATGACCAGAGACTGCGGACACAGTACAGGAGATGACCAGAGACTGCAGACATAGTACAGGAGATGACCAGAGACTGCAGACATAGTACAGGAGATGACCAGAGACTGCAGACATAGTACAGGAGATGACCAGAGACTGCAGACATAGTACAGGAGATGACCAGAGACTGCGGACATAGTACAGGAGATGACCAGAGACTGCGGACACAGTACAGGAGATGACCAGAGACTGCGGACACAGTGCAGGGATGACCGGAGACTGCGGACACAGTACAGGGATGACCGGAGACTGCGGACACAGTACAGGGATGACCAGAGACTGCGGACACAGTACAGGGATGACCGGAGACTGCGGACACAGTACAGGGATGACCGGAGACTGCGGACACAGTACAGGGATGACCAGAGACTGCAGACACAGTACAGGGATGACCAGAGACTGTGGATAGTACAGGGATGACCAGAGACTGCGGACACAGTACAGGGATGACCAGAGACTGCGGACAGCACAGGGATGACCAGAGACTGCGGACAGCACAGGGATGACCAGAAACTGCGGACAGTACAGATGACTGCTGACCTTTGGGGAGGGGGGGAGCGGGTACCTGAATTTGACAGATACCCGCTCCCACTTCTGCGGAGTTGTTCTTTCATCTTACCTGTTCCTCGATCCAGCCGCGCGCTGTCTTCCCGGCTTCTGTAATGGCGCTCGGCATGACAGCCGGGTGCCCAGTGCGCATGAGCGAGAAGCACTTGCGCTTTGTGATTGGTCCGGCGGCTTCTGGGATCTGTCATGTGTCCCAGGTGCCGCCTTACCATTCACAAAAAGCACCGCTTCCTGCGCATGCGCACTTGGCACCCGGCTGTCATGCCCACACTACAGAAGCCGGGAAGACCACGCCGCTGGATAGAGGAACGGGTAAGATGAAAGAACAACTCCACGGAAGTGGGAGCGGGTATCTGTCAAATTCAGGTACCCGCTCCCCCCCCTCCCCAAAGGTCAGCAGTCATCTCTATAAGGTCCCGCTGTAGAGCTGAGCGGCCGGCCCGGTATTCTGACACGGCGGCAGTGGAAATACCAGACCGGCCGCTCCATATTCGCTCCATAAGACGCGCGGACATTTTCCCCCCTTTTTTGGGGGGAAAAAAGTGCGCGTCTTATGGTGCGAAAAATACGGTAAATATATATATATATATATATATATATATATATATATTATCCTTGAAATACAAAAAAATTTTATGATATCTTGACTAAGAAGGACCAATGTTTCTTGGTAGAGCCCAATGTTTCTTGGTGGAGGCATCAACAAATTAAAACACGATTGTTCAAAGTAGAACAAATCAGATTTCTCTGAGCCAAACAGATTTGATTAGTGTGGACAATTCCTCTGATTCCTATCACAGGTAAATAAGTTGCCACTTTGAAGGGAAATGTAAAAGGGTTATAGCTTTATAAAATCACCTTCACTGTGATGGCATCATCTCCTTCCTCCCCATCACTGCCCACTGACCGCCTCTGAATTTTCTCTTCATCTGATGCCCACTGTTCCTGGTACTGCTCTACCTGTACCTGGTGCCAAAAAGAAAAAAGGATAGTAAATATTCATATGTATATTACAATCATTTTGTTTTTTGTATAACACTTGCAGCAATACTTCCCAAGTTCCCTGTCCTATATATATGTAGAACCACTGAGGGCCATTTACACTTACATTGCAGCATGCATGGTAATATACAGGTGTAGGTGTGAATGGGTCTTTTGTCTTGGGTTCACACTAGCCTGTAGGGTGTGGGCTGGTGGCACCCACAACCTCCCGCAGCCGAATCGTGCTACTCTTGCGAGACACACTCCTTCTAAATAGCACCCCAACGTATCTCAGCCTGCAGAGCAATCGCATGTGCGGGAACTGCAAGGAAACTGCATGGTCAAAAGGACCATGCGGTTTCCCTGTGGATGCGCTTTTGAAAAGGCGCATGCACCTTTTTTGTATATGGGAAATGTGGCACAGCAGCCCATTCAAATGAGTGCCCAAGCAAATGTGGGCCACACGGCTTGCACTAGAAGAATTTTCTCTATAAACAAGCTAAACTGTAACATATAGATCTGTACCAACCAGATAGGAGAGAATTGGGTTTCTACTTGAAATGCATACTTATGCAGTACAATGTGTTTTAAAATGACCATAGATAGACAGAATTTCAGCAGATGAAAATAGTGAAAACAACAAAAAGAAAACTAATGCAGCCATCACATCTAATAATTGGTAAGCTGCCATATCATAATGGTTTGCTTTTGGGTTAATACCTCTTTCAGTCTGCCCATACATTAGGGGAGACAGAATGTGAAGTGTCCGTGGAGTTAGGTGATACAGGAAAGCTCATCACCAGTCATGACATACCTCTGACAAATAGTGGGACTTAGCAAAAGGACATGCAGGATTTATGAAATCTCAGTTGGCAATTAATATCTGCTGGGAAGTTTGCCCCACTATGGCAGCCAGGGATCAGTGGGCACAGTATTTATAGGCAGCATGCCACACATAGGAGACCATTATGGAGAACAGGAAACAGAACAGAACACAAAAAGACAATGACATAGCCACATGGGCTGTACACATGTCACAAGTGTGCCAAAAATGAATCAGCATGTTGCATTCTGCAGGTGGTAGTAAAGGTGGCAGCTCTGGCACCACACTTGTGGTGTGGTGGATCAACATTTAGAGGGTAAAAACAGTTGCCTCCTCACCGCCCGTCAGACGCCCTCTGATAAGCAACCCTCTTCTGATCACTTTTCAGAAGGATGACAATAATAGCTTCACATATGAACAAGCCCCTAGAAACTCACCTGATGTCCAGCAGGCACATATCTCTCATCCTCTTCTTCTTGATCTTCAACCTCTTTTTTGGGAAATCTTGGACTTGGTGGCCTGTAATCCTCATTGTTTGTTTCTCTGGAATAATACCATGCAAATTTTCATTAATCATTTTTTCTTATACTGACAACTACAGTAGCTGTCCTTGTGGTCCCTGCTCAGTAGAATGGAAAACCACGTCAACAGCCAGTTTATAGTATATTTACACAGTATGCTGGCGTGGCTCAGTGAATCATAAGACTTGCCACAAAAAAATGCAACATGAGCAGACCTTCTTAACTTGTAAGCCGTGGTTGCTTTCCCCTAAATACACGGATATGTATGTATTTATTTTATTCATCTTATAGCGTTGTCAGTTTATGCAATGCTTTACATATATATTGTACATTCACATCTGTCCCTAACCCTCAAGAGGTGTACAATCTAAGGTCCCTAACGCACATTCATACATACACATACTAGGGACAATTTAGACAGGATCCAATTCACCTACCAGCATGTCTTTGGAGTGTGTTAGGAAACCGGAGTACCTCCATGCAGGCACAGGGAGAACATGCAAACTCCATGCAGGTGGTGCTGTTGTTGGGATTTGAACCAACAACCCTACTACTACCACCAGGTGGGAGTGCTAACCATTTAGCCACTGTGATGCCCTATTAGCCCTATTAAAACTGCAAAAAACAGGGATCGTTAGGAATTGTAAAACATTTTGTAGCAGGAAAAATTTATCATCCAACTACTCATAGTAGCTAATGATATTCCAGACATGTGAGGGTGAGGTGGGATAAAAGTAATTATTTACATGGTTCTACCTGCTATCTTAAAATGAGAGGGGAGGAAAAAAACTTTTCATTTTTCATTAATTCTAATGTACCGTAATAATTGTACCTGATTTCCCAAGAGACGAATTCTATCTCCTCTGTGCAGGCTTCTGGTTCATCATTTGCCTGTTAAAAGGTAAAGAGATGAATGTAATGAGAAGATCAATGCCTGGTTATGTGGGTAGAGCTGATGATGTCCAGCTTTTTGGTGATTTAGCCCAAAATCGCAGAATGCTATGCTGCTATGCAGAGCCATACAAAGCAGTGTGCAGGAGCTGACAGGGAAGATAACTGTATTGTTTACATACAGTTCTCTCCCCCGTCGGTAATACTCAGCGAGTAATCACCGGCCGGGATAAAAATTTAAAAAAAATCTAATTTTGTCATAAATTTACACCAAAATGTATTCTGCTACATGTCTTTGCTAATAAAAATCCCAATACGTGTAAATTAATTGGTTTCCGTGAAAGTTATAGCGTTTACAAATGGCAGTATAGATATTGTAATTTTTTTTCATTTTTACTAGTAATGGCGACGATCAGCGACTTATAGCGGGACTGTGGTGGACATTCTGACACTGGGGGGAACTGACTTGGTGTCACGGACATCCCCAGTTACACCAATACAGTGATCAGTGTTAAAAAAAAAAAAAAAAAAAAAAAAAGCACTGACACTGTACTAATGGCACTGGGCAGGAAGGGGTTAACATGAGGGGCGATCAAAGGGTCAACTGTGTGCAGGGAGTGTTTTACTAGGAGGCCGTGTCAGTGTGCTTCACTGTAATCACACTGCTCTGGATGGCTGTGCACAGCCTTCCAGAGCAGTGTGCCCGAACTGACAGGGAGGAGGACTTAGTAAACAAAACAGTCCTCCCGTTGTACAGGTTGTACAGACGCCGATCCACCAATCAACTTCTGTACAACCGCCATGTCAGATTTTCCCTGCTCGATCAGTGCTGCAGGCTAAAGCTTGCAACTCTGTTCAGTGTATTTTGATGGTAGGGAAGCCTTCCTGCTGTCAGAGTACAATAGGTCAGCGGGAGGATTCCCCCATCCACCCTGAATGTGTTGATGGGGGGAGTTGGGTCAAAGTCCTCCCATTAGAGATCTTTGGGAATCACTGGGCGCTGGCCAGTAAATACCGGCCGAGACCCGGTGATTTACAGCCACAGTCACGTCGAATGGTGGCATGGGTAGGGCGTGCATGTGGCTCACGCGCTCCCCTACCTGGAAATGCAAAATCACGTATATATATATATATATATATATATATATATATATATATATATACACACACACACACATGATTTTGCGCACTCATGCCGCTCTGTAGTAGTATTTCTGCTATAGTGCGGACGAGACGCGGTTAAAGTGTATGTCAAGGTAATGACAACACAGTACCTTTTGCTGCACTGAAATCCCAACCAGCATTGTCAGATTTCAGTATAACAAGCCTGTTGGATTTTTTTAAGGCCTGCCAGTAGAACACAATAGCGCTGAAGAAGGGATTCCCCCATCAACACCGACTGTATTGATTGTATTGGGTATTCAAACTATTTTCTTTCCTTTAATCTGTGGTTGAAGGAAAGAACATTGTATACAGTAATTTATGTCTTGCCTTACTGTCACTTTCTGATGTAGCAATATGGAAAGAAGTGAGACTTTGGGTATTAGTATAGGTGTACCAATGTACACTTGTCTGATCAGAGGAAGCAGGTCACAGAACATGTTGAGATACTAACAACCAGTTTCTACACAACCCCACAAACATTGTTAAATATGACCACATTTTTGACTGTCATCTATGTTAAGCACCAGATTGCCGCTATTTATGCTATGTTATTATTATACAGGATTTATATATCGCCAACAGTTTGGTCAGCGCTTTACAATATAACATGTTCTGCTATACTTGACTCTTAAAAAGCTTTACTACAAACACAAAATAAACATGAGGCATGGCAGCCATGCTTCCATTAGGCTTGGTTCACACTTATACGTTTTGCTGTGCGTTTGCAGATTTGCAGAAACGCACTACAGTCCATTTAACATTAGTTCCATTGGGTGATAATCAGATCTATGCAGTTTTCACCAGTGCGTTTTTTTGGAAAGGTGGAGGGATGTTTTTACACGCAGCATGGTGCCTTTTGTGACTCCATAGATGTCAATGGAACCGCTTAAAAAACACATTTACAAAGTATGTAAGTTTTGGTGTCTTTTTGGTGTGTTTTTTGTGCATTTTTTTCTGCCTGACAAAAGACACCTCCTCCGAGCAACATAACACATCCTAAAAACACAAAACACATTAACAACACATCAAAAACACACATGAAAAAATGCAAAATGCGCTGAAGAAAAGCAATACACATGATAGAAAAATGCAAAACGCGTGATGGAAAATGCATCAACCGCACTTGCATAGATGTGAACCTAGCTACAGAGCCTAATCCAAAGATGTTTTGTTCCATAACACAGTTCCTTTAAAAGTTACAATATTTACTATAAATACAGTATTAGCAACATTGTCTGTGTTACACAAGACCTTCAGAAGTTAGCTTTTTCATACTGTGTACAAAATAACAACGTTTTGGGTTTCTCATTCTTTTTTTTCCATTTGGTTTTAAACACATGAGTACACACAATGAACACATTTTTTGTCACTGTATGTGGCATGGTTCGAAATTCGGATGGTTCAGCAGGGACTGGCCAATTTCGATCTATGCATGGGCAGGGAGGTTGTACAGAAGTCGATCCACCAATCAACTTCTGTACAACCGCCATATCAGATTTTCCCTGCTCGATTAGTGCTGCAGGCTAAAGCCTGCAACTCTATTCAGTGTATTTTGATGGTGGGGAAGCCTTCCTGTTGTCAGAGTACAATAGGTCAGCTGGAGGATTCCCCATCCACCCTGAATGTGTTGATGGGGGAGTTGGGTCAGTTTTTTTTCATTCAACTTACTAGTTGAAAAAAAAAAAAAAAAAAAAAAAAATCATTTCTGGGCTGCCTAATGCTATATGGCACATTGTTAAAGAATGTTACTTTTGTTTGACAACAAACATTTTTTTTTCGTTCAGAATGCTGATGAGATTGGTGAGATTAATACACAGCTCAAAGGAGGCCCACAGACCTGAGATGGCAGTTATCCAGCCCTGCTTTAGACAGCATTAAAGAGGAACTTAGCGAAGTTTTTAAAATAAAAAAAAAAAATCAGCCAATACAAATACTGTAGCTGCTAACGTTTAAAAATTAGGTCCTCAACCAGTCTAAAGATTCCAGCACTGTCATCTAGCAGCTGATTCTTTCAACTGCTGTGGGTCCCTGGTGCCATCATCTTGGATATGGGGGCCAGCTGAGACTTCCCGATAAACCACAGTTGGCTCCCCACTGCCCATGTGCAAGATCGCAAATGCGAGTTGGCTGAGGAATCCAAAATTGTGCCATTCATGGATCTGACAGGTTAGAATACCCTTCTAATCAAAGTTGAGTGATATCTCATATCATCCTACATCCATCTGACTTTTTTCCACCTATAGCTCCACCTGCATTACACCCTATAGTATTTTACATACAATTCAACTTAAAGCTGGCCATGCACATGGCAATCTACTGGGGATTGCAAATATGATCTAAAGCAGGGGTCCTCTAACTGCGTGAAAAGAGATTCACAGAAAAGCGGTTACATAATGGACAGAAAGCGATACTCAAAGTAATTAAAAAAATTATGCTTTATTTATTTATTTCAGGTATTTATATAGTGCTGTCAATTTACGCAGCGATTTAGACATATTGAACATTCACATCAGTCCCTAACCTTCAAGGGGTGTACAATCTAAGGTCCCTAACTCACATTCATACATACACATACTAGGGACAATTTACACAGGATCCAATTAACCTACCAGCATGTCTTTGGAGTATTACACAATACACATATGGACATATAAAAAGGTAAATACCTCAGTTAGCCATCACCCCAGTATGAGATAATACATCAAAGTATGACCTAAAATCACTTAAAACAGACGTCATGACCGGTCAAAGTAATGAAGTGCTGCAAATATAGTGACAGCTGGTCTAATACATTTGCAGCACTGACACAATAGTTACACTGCCATGCAGGGGGTGTTTCAAAAAAATTGTACCAAAAAAAATGGCATAACAGTCAATGCAGTATATGGCTGATCGTAAGTACCAGACAATGGATATAGCAGCCCAATAAAACCTAAACAGGTATATATTAACTGTTGAGAGATCTATAGAGACAATCTACCTCCACAACCACTAGCTGGGTAATAACCAGAACAGGTAGTAGTTATGGTAGGCTATGGTCTCTATATATCTCTCAACAGTTAATATATACCTGTTTAGGTTTTATTGGGCTACTATATCCATTGTCTGGTACTTACGATCAGCCATATACTGCATTGACTGTTATGCCATTTTTTTTATACAATTTTTTGAAACACCCCCTGCATGGCGGTGTAACCATTGTATCAGTGCTGAAAATGTATTAGACCAGCTGTCACTATATTTGCAGCCCTTCATTACTTTGACCGGTCATAACGTCTGTTTTTAAGTGATTTTAGGTCATACTTTGATGTATTATCTCATACTGAGGTGATGGCTAACTGAGGTATTTACCTTATATGTCCATATGTGTATTGTGTAATAAAGCATCATTTTTTTAATTACTTTGAGTATCGCTTTCTGTCCATTATGTAACCACTTTTCTGTGAATCTCTTTTCACTTTTTTTAGTTTTGCTGAATGTTTTTTTGGGTTACTGGGCAGATAATGTACGTTTAGCGATACGTGTTATTTATAAGCCCTTTATTTTTCTAATTTTACTAGTCCTCTAACTGCGGCCCGTGGGCAGGATGTGACCCTTTGCTTGCCCTTATCCGGCCCTTGGGCCAATGACACTATAATGGGATGCTATTCCTTCCACTGACACCAAAGATGGAGAAGTTATTCTCCCACTGACACCAGTTATGGGGAACTATTCCTCCCACTGACATCAATGATGTAATTTTTTTAATACCCATTGACTATCAAGCCTTTGGCACGGTTTACTCCCATCAATGCCAGGGAATTTTCTACTCCCACTGACCATAGTCTGGCCCCAATAAAAATTGAAGGGCAACACACTGGCCCTTTGTTTTGAATGTTTGGAGTCCCCTGGTCTAAAGGAATTGCTGGAAACTATAGCCTAGTACACATGGGCTGAATATTAGGCGGCATAGGCCGGTTCAATAAAAAAAGTCCGACATTCAGCCCGTGTCTACGTCGGCTGGCCAAACAGAAGCTGGCATTTAGGCTGCCAATCGGCATCTGATCAGCACTCCCAGCCAATGGCTAAGAGTGCTGATCAGTGTACTCAGGCGGGGGAGATGGATATTGGATTGTTAGTACAGCGGCTCCTCCTGAACTCTGCAGTTTTTTTTTCATTCAGCCCATTGAGTTGAATGCGAAAAAAAAAAAAACGCTAGTGTGTGCCAGGCTTAAGTCTTCTGTCAAGCACGTGTTCACTAGACCACCAGAGTTTGGTCGACTAAAAAGTTGAAACAGGGTAATAGATTTACAGCTTACCTAAAGTTTATTTGAAGATTGAATTGAAAAGGTGAAAAGGCTACGTCAATTTCATTAAAAGTGATCAGATTTCTCTGCCCAGTTGAATGGGTCAATTTTGATCCCATTTTCTTACGGTAAATCACAACCACCACTTTATGTCCTCCATTGCTTTGTGATTTCCATAAAAATGGAAACAAAAATTCAATTACTCAAATAAATTGCCACATATATGGCCAGCTTAGAGTAGTTAAACTGTATTTTTATTTCTGACTACCGTCAATAAAATCTATGGTGAACCTTGGATACAGCATTGGCCATTAGGAACCTCCTCAGAGTTGTTTTACATTGTTCTAGTACCTCTACTTCTTCATTACGAGTTGTCCCCTCATCTTCTTCCTCCACCTGTGCTTCTGTGTTGCATGTATGAAGCTCCTCCATGGCTCTGGTCTGCTCTGTCTGTTCCTCCTCTGTAAATCTGGGCTCTTCTCTCTCCTCTGCGGCCTGCGCAGCTCCTCTCTGCTTCCTCTGCTCCAATTTCTGAGACCAGTCACTGAATCCCTCATCCTCCTCCGTCTCCCAGGGACCAGCTGGCTTCAGCCCCACACTGAAAAGCACAGAACATAAATATGACTTTATAGAAAACAATTCCCTTCTCTCATCTGCCCTTCTAGGATAGACCATCTGCAGAAAAAACAGAATGATCTCATTTGTATTCTTAATTCATTCTTTTAGTTTTTTTACTGAACCGTGACACATACAGCACTACAGAACACATAGAAAGCGTGTTTGCATCATGTGATATCTTCGATTAAACTTTATTAAAAAAGTATACAGTATCTCAGTCTCAAAAGTAGAAGACAAAAGTGCATAAATGTTCCTTTCAAGGTGAGATACGGTCAATCCTCTGAATAAAGATGACCAACTGGCAGACTTGTTTAACAAATGTAATCACTTTCCTAAATCGTGACTTACACGTTTTTAGGGCAAACCCTCTTCCTCAGGGATCTACGAAAGAGGGTTTGCCCCTGAAATGCATAAGCCACATTTGAGGCAACGATTACATGTTGTTGAATGCACTTTGGGGGCTAAAAATATGCATGCATCATACATACTGGGGGGTACAACTGGGGAATCAATGGTGGAGAAGGATCTGGGAGTTCTGGCAGACCACAAGCTTAATAATGACATGCAATGCCAAGCTGCGGTTTCCAAAGTGAGCAAAATCCTCTCTTGTATTAAAAGAGGTATAGACTCCAGAGAGAGAGATATCATAATACCCCGGCACAAATCATTAGTAAGACCTCATCTGGAATATGCAGTTCAGTTTTGGGCACCAATTCACAAAACGAACATTGGGGAACTGGAGAAAGTACAGAGAAGGGCAACCAAAGTGATACGAGGCATGGAGGAGATCAGCTATGAGGAAAGATTAGAGGAACTGAAATTATTCTCTCTTGAGAAGAGGAGATTAAGGGGGGATATAATCAACATGTATAAATACATCAGTAGTTTATATAGTGAACTCGGTGTAGAGCTATTCTCCCTGAGGTCATCACAGAGGACAAGGGGGCACACTTTACTTCTGGAGGAAAAGAAATATAATCTCCAGACACGGAAAGGTTTCTTCACAGTGAGAGCTGTGAAAATGTGGAATAGACTCCCTCAAGAGTTGGTTCTGGCCAGCTCAGTGGGTTGCTTTAAAAAAGGCCTGGATTCTTTCTTAGATACACAGAATATAACTGGTTACTAACATTCATAGGTAAAGTTGATCCAGGGAATATCCTATTTCCTCTTGGGGGATCAGGAAGGAATTTGTTTCCCTGCAGAAGCAAATTGCTGGGTGTTTTTGCCTTTCTCTGGATCAACTGTGGGTATAGGATCTTAACTTTTTTTTTTTATGGTTGAACTGGATGGAATTTTGTCTTTTTTTCAGCCAGACTAACTATGTAACGATCAATGGATCCAGCAATTGGTTATTCACAAGCGATTGAGCAAGCAAAAGGAAAGAAAAGAGTAGCAGACTGTTAAGTTATCCAAACATTACATATAACAAAAAATTGTAAATCAATAAAATCTACAAACAATTTTTAAATATCATTCATAAAAAGGTGCTGGATGGGATAAAATATATATGATTGAGACATTAAAACAGTTGTATTTGCAAAAAAAGTATATATATATATATATGCACATTTTGGCCATATTGAACATGTAAAAGGTTGCTTGATCTGTCTGGGCCTATCTTAAACCTTGGCCTGTAATGGATTTGGCTGTTCTATGTGTACATGCATAGATCGCGCTAGGAGGCAATAGAAACAGTTATATGATGACCGCAGGAATATGCAGAATGTGGGCATGAGGTTGGGCTCTTCCATTGCATTTGCTCAAAACCTAAACACACAATAACTGGACAGGGAAGTCCCCTGTGTACTCATACAAGGTCTATCCTATGATCAAGTCTAAAGCTGCCCATGGATAGTATGGACCTGGTATTCTTTAAAGTAAATTTTTTTCTTAAGGTGACAACTCTCCCTCACTTCCTGTCCTCTCCTCCACTGAGCAAATTTCCTTCACTAATAGCACTTTCTGTAACACAATCTACTGAATTGGCCAAAAACCTGGAACCTGTTTGATACTTTTCGTTCAGACTGCAGGCTCAGTGAAAGAAATTTGTGTATGGGCAATCTTAAAGCGTATTTCCCCTTTTGCAGTCAAATCTGAAAAAAAATTATTTTTTTTTCCCTTTTACCATTTCCAAGGAGAAGACACAACAGGGTTGATTCTAAAGCTGGCCATATGTGGATCAAATTTTGGCCGTGTCAGTGGGGACTGGCCACGGTTTGATCCATGTATGAGCTAGCTGAGTATCCAAGTTAATCCATCAATCAACTTGGGTTCAACCAGTCTGTTGTTTTTTTATGTGACTACTGCCAGGCACTATAGGTGCTGAAGGAAAGAAAATCAAATCATCTATGGGCAGGTTAAAGCAGTAGTAAACCGCCAAAAAAAAGAAAAGAAAGTTTCTCTGCAAAATAATGTCATAATGTGCTAGTATGCATAGTATACTAACACATTATGAAAGACTTACCTTAGAAGGAGTGAGCTAACTCTGTGTGGGGACATTAACAACCAATACAGTCATTAACATCCAACACAGGAGAGGGGTTTCTAAATATTATCCCTTTGTTGGGACAGACAGTGTTCAAATCTAATTTACAGCTTCTAATGAAGTACTGTGAACAGTACAGTGTTAATTATGTTAAACATTAGTCCATTACCCCCTCCTAAATATTACATAGCAGGGAGATCATGGAAGGATTTCTTAAGTAATCAAAAAGCAATTAAAATGGTAATCAGCAATTTTTTTTTTGTCTTATTTTACATGATGTTAATGGGAACTTATAACAAACATAAAGTAAGCTGCAAAAGTGGAAATACACTTTAAATGGGATGAACTTGTATATTGGCTCTATGGAAAGAAAGTAGTGGAAAACTTCTGGAGACAACCTCCTGGAAGTGCAGCTGTGGATTAAGCAATCACGCACACAATCCTAGCAAACAAACCACATCTCAGCTTGACAACACATGGGAGAAGAATCCTCCAAACTGGGATGGATGATTCTGCAATCTCATTTTAACTTGATACAAATACAAACAAGAGATTAGTATTCAAAGACCTCAAAAAGCTGCAGGTTTCCAATTCCTGGAAGTCCAACTGGCTGAGATAAACTGGCCAAACACGAGGAAATCTTATTTAAGACTCAACAAATGATCTGGTATCTCCAAACAATTTTTAAGCAACAAACATAATGTTGTACACTGTGGGATGATTGTTCCTCTACCAAGGCAGGCAGGATCTGAAGGACTTCTGATTTTTTTTTTCAAGCTAGATCTTGGTAAAGTTGGCCATACATGGTTAGATTTACATTTGATCATATGTAGAAAAATTGTTTGTCAGAACTTTCTTACTTGCCAATAAAGTCAAATAATTTTGTTCTTAAGCCCTTAAAATGTCATTCAGACCTGCTATTTGAAAGGAATCCCAGATGTATTAAAGCCGGGGTGTCAAACGGGCGGACCACCAACTGCAAAACTACAAGTCCCATCATGCCTCTGCCTTTGGGAGTCATGCTTGTAACTGTCAATCTTGCATTGCCTCATGGGACTTGTAGTTTGGCAACAGCTGGAGGGTCACCAGTTTGACACTCGTGTATTAAAGCATCCTTAACCAATTCAATACCGGGAAATTTTACACCTTCCTGCCCAGGCCAGTTTTCAGGTTTCAGCACTCTCACACTTTGAATAACAATTGCGCGGTCATACAACATTGTACCCAAACTAAAATTTTATAATTTTCTTCACACAACTACAGCTTTCTTTTGGTGGTATTTAATCACCGCTGGGGTTTTTATTTTTTGCTAAATTAACAAAAAAAAACAAAAATTTTGAAAAAAAAAAAAAGTTTCTTTGTTTCTGTTATAAAAGTTTGCAAATAAATAATTGTTCTTCATAAATTTAGGCCGAGATGTATTCTGCTACATGTGTTTGGTGAAAATAACCCAAATTAGGATGTATTTTTTAGTTTGTAGGAAAGTTATAGAGTTCACAAACTATGGTATAGATCTGAATATTGATCAATCCTGAAGTACTGACAGCCAATCTAATTTCTTGAGGTCCAAGAATGTCAGAATAGTACAGATCTCCCCCAAATGACCCCTTTTTGCAAAGTAGACAGTCCAACGTGCTTCATAAGAGGCATGGCGAGTTTTTTGAAGTTGTATTTTTTTTTGTCATAATTTTTCGGAAAATGAAAAAATTAAAAAAAATTAAAATATTTTTTTTTTCATATTGTCACCAGTGCAGTACAGCGTCATCATATAACTGGCATGGCGGTGATCAGAGACACAGACTGGTGACAGTATGAAAAAAAAAAAAAATATATATATATATATATATTTTTTTTTTTTTTATTTGTTTTATTTTTTTATTATTTTCTATTAATTTTTTTTACTTTTTTTTAAGATTTTTTTTTCATATTTCACTATGACCAAAGTAGTACAATGTTACCATAGTAACATTGTACTACTTTGGGGAAGTGATCAGTATTTTTTTTTTTTTTACACAATTTGCTTAAAGCAAAGAATTACTTTGCTATAAGCAAGCATTTACCTGAATGACATCGATTCATTCAGGGTTTTTTTTTTTTTTTTTTTTTTTTTTGTGCTTAGCTGTGATTTGGCCACAGCTAATCACATGACATGTCCATGTGACATGCTGTGACCATTCACAGCTAAACACTAGTATACAATGGATGGCATGAATGAAGCCATCCATTGTATACAACTTTCATGTGACCTGCTGTGATTGGTCACAGCAGGTCACATGGTACAGGCAACGGGGCCCATACTCAGATCTGTCATCGGCCGTGTCCGAGGTACACGGCCGGTGACAGATCGCGCCGCTGCGCCGCTCTGCAGGAGCGCAATCTGCGCATGTGCGGGAGGACGCCGTATGGCGTCCACCCGGAACGCTGATAACATTTGCCGCCTGCCTTTCGGCCATAGGCGGGCGGCAAATGGTTAAACTTCACCTTTAGCAACATGTTGCATATTACACCCGCATTTAGAGAATAACATGTAAAATGTTGCCAAGCACCACCTTCACCTAACCCCCTGAGCCCCCCCCATGAGCGGAGATTCCTCTCCCCTGCAACCACTGTCACTTTTAAAATTGATGTGGCTGCGTGGGGCTCCACTGCACAACCGCGCCATTCATTCAAAGAGATCTGTGAAAGAATAAACTACTGTCCTGTCTGCCATCGCGGTAGAAGGACTTGTAGTTCTCAGTAGAACACAAGTGCAGTAATCAGAGCATTTTTAGTCTATTAACACTTCCTTCAGCTTCCTAACTGAAAGCCCATACAGAGGTACAGGCAGAGAGCTATAGGAAGAGTCTGCAGGAGCCCGACACTGCACCCGTGATCTACAGATCATGGGTGCAATGTTTTGCAGGCTCCTGTGGAAAAAATTATAAATGCACATTTTCTCCTGAAAAAAACATAGGCATTTATTATTTTATTTTTAAAGGTGAACTTAGAGCTTAGTGAACCTATAGAGGAACTTAAGGCACAATTACTTACTTTAGTTTCAACAGTCTGAAGCCTGCAAGGTCTCTTACCGGAGCCGGCATCTTCTCCCCAGTGTCTTCCGGGTGACAATCCTCAGTTGTATCGATTGGTGAACAGGCAGGTAAAACTACTTTATTGCAGAAGAGACACTGCATGTGTCTTCTGCAATAAAAAGCCTACTGGTTCCCAATTTTTTTATATTTAGCCCTTAGTCCAGGTTTAACAGGTTTTATTAGAATATGTGCAATTTTTCCCAAAAGAAAACCACATTCACAGATAGAATTTAATTCATTGCGAAAAATTTTCCATCCTGCTCCTAATTATTTTGTCACTACATCCAAAAGCTAATCGATTTGACTCCACTAGCCATTAGAAAATCAAATGAACATTTTGAAAGGCAACATTTTTGTACAAAATTCTACTGGTGTATGGCCAGCTTTAAGGCTAGGTTCACATCTGTGCGGGTGGTGCCGCTGTGGATCTGCACGAAAATCCGTGCAGCCACACCACCCGCACAGAGAAATGCAGACACGCGGGCAGGTGCCATTAGTTCTAATGGCACGCCGCCCGCACTCGATGTGGATGGGGGAATCCTTCTCACCGAGTTATTGTATTCTGGCAGCAGGGAGACTTCTCTCCTGTCAAAATACACTGATCAGTACTGCTGGCAATGGCCAGCGGCATGGATCAATCAGGAAAACCCCACAGGCTTTTTTCCTGATCGATCATACATGGATCAAAATTCGGCCGATCTCTGTTGAACCAGATAAATTTTGATCCATGTATGGCCAGCTTAACTAGGCTGGGTGTATGTAAACCCTAACCATGGGCTGATAAATATATAATAGTAATGCATTTTATCACAGTTTTACTAGTGCAAAAACTACCTGTTGATCTTGTCAGAAATGCAGATCTGTTCTGTGCTCTCTGCCTGTGTTATATCAAAGAGACTATTTAGCCCTCCCAGTTCCTCTCTTGGACTACAAGTCAACTGATCCCTATGCTGCAGATAAGAAGACGGAGAGTGGTTGAGTAGTTCAGTAAAAGAAAATGGGCAGGGCTGACACCAATCAGTTTTCATAGTTTCTAAAGAGACTGGCGCCCAATTTCTTCCACCCCACAAAGGATTCCACTGTGAGGTCTGAAATGCTAGCCCACTGAGCTGCCAATACAAAGGGAAATTAAGAACTTAGTGAATTTTTGGCAAATCAACTGGTACTTTTCTGTATTTACAGAGTCGTTAAAGTGATAAAACATGAGAAAATGTGGATATATTGCATGTACTGCATATGTGTTTTTATTTTGCCTTGACATATGCTTCAAATAGGATGAGGGTCACATAGTAGGTCCACAAAACCTCTAATCACGTAACAATTTTGATCCCTTGATACCATCCTCAAGAAAAAAAATTGGATTGACTATATCTTTGGATTGACTACAGTATACCTTCTGATTAAAGGATAATTTCACCTTTTGACCAAAATAATAAATGTACATTTTTTTGCAGGTAAAAAAAAAAAGTGCATTTATTATTTTTCGTTGCAGGAGCCTGTAAAGCATTGCACCAGCGATCAGCAAATCGCTGGTACCATGCAGGTCTCCTGCAGACCTGTCAGTATATCTGCTTGCTTGTACTGGATGTACAGACAAGCAGATACACTGACAGGAAGAATCAATTAACTCATTGAGAACTACAAGCCAAAAGCCGCCATTGGCTCCCACTGCGCTCTCTATCACAGTCTGTGAGTCAATAAAGAGAGAAAGGAGTATGAATAGACACTCAGAGCAGCGGCTTGGGTATGAGCCTGCTTGGGTGCCTCCATAGCAAGCTGCTTGCTCTGGGGGCACTCAGCAGGAAGGAGGGGCCATGAGCCTTTAATATGACTTTAAAGTGAATTTCAAGCCAAAAATGTTGTTTCTAGTTTTGGTTAGTGTAGGGAAGGAGTAGAACTCCTGTAAAATTTTTACTGCTATCCCTGACACCAATAGGGAAATATACCCTGACTTCTTGCCCAGATGACACACAGTTTCACCGGACAGGGAGAATCTGAAAAAGGAAAAAAAGACAGAAATAAATATCTGACAGTTGTTCTAGCCTCCCCTTACTCTACTATAAAAAGCATTTTTATTTCTGTCTGTGTTGCAGTTGGAAAGTCCCTCTCCTTCCTGTCTGTAGACCTACGTACGCCTTCTCCATACTTCTGAACCATGCATCCTTCCACTTGCATAAGCCTTAGTCTGCACCTGGTGATACAGTGAGGACAGCACCCATCAGATAAGTTTGGTAAGTTCTTTGAGATGTGTGCCCAACGAAGAGCGTTACTAGGGGATCATGCATGGGTGACGGGTATTGTAGGGAACAGGGAGTGAATTTTGTGCACATTCTTACTGGTTATCTGTCTGCATGCAGTTCTCATCATCCAGGTCGTCTGGAGACTGTCCTTCACTGCCCAGATGCTGCTGTCTCTCTCTTCTACGACGTTCCCGTGCTGCTTCCTCCTCGTCTTCCACACTCCACTGAGTGGTCAATCTGCCATACATAAGAGAATACAAGAACACTAAATAAGAAGACTGCTCAGCTACTATATGATCTTTCCTGAAGGCTAAAAGTTGTCAGTGGTGGAGGCTCTCATTCCCTAAGAGAAAATAGGGGCGCCAAACTAAGTGCAGCATATTAGTAATTTATTGCAAGGTAAAATTATTAGCAACTCACTAGACATAAGTTGATAAAAGGCATGTCACCCTCGTACGGGGTCCTGAAGGATCCAGGAGCCGGTATGCGGCACAGCAAGTCTGGGCATCCGGATGGTGGCTGAGAGCAGGTCCTCTGAGGCTCAGGAAGCGGCCAGCCACGATGATGGAACCAGCCTGGAACGCAAATGGCGCTGGAGAGGACGTGACGTCAGACGTCGGTGCGTGATGATGTGAAACAAGGGGCGGTAACGCCTTTCGAAGTGTAACTTCTTCTTCAGACCTCTGAAGAAGAAGCTACGCTTCAGAGGTCTGAAAAAGAAGCTACGCTTTGAAACGCGTTACCGCCCCGTTTCACGTCATCACACACTGAAAAAAAAAAAGCTTGAAAGGTGTTAGCTAGAGTGTTGGCCACTGTAGTACACACTGATCACTCCAAATAAGCACAGGAGGAATTTTTTCGTTGGTTTCATTACAGTACTGTTGATGGGTTAACTTTTTGTGGTTTAGTTACAGTCATGTACTACGCAGGCACGAGATCGAGTGGTGCATGCTGGGATAGCCAGCAGCACCAATTCCAGGAAGTAAAGACCTGCAGGCTTCAGTTGCCCACAGCTATCATGGCTCCTGCCTGCTCCCGAGATCCTGGTAAAGTTTAACTTATTTTAAAGTAATTACAATGCTATTATGAATTACTATATCCAATTGTTAATGCTAATGTAAAGGAAATAGTTGATCTGCTTGTAAAAAAAATATATTTTGGGGACTGGAGCTCCGCTTTAAAGCTCTCCAATCAGCAAAAATCATGAGTCTAGATTGTAAGCTCCTTGAGGACAGGGATTGATGTGAATGTACAGTATGTAAAGCACAGAATTGATGGCGCTATATAAATACCTGAAATAAATACCGGTAAATAAAACAGTGGCTACGAACACATTTTATTTATTCTCATACCAAGGGTCACTTTAATATTACTCATTTATATTGCTGTATTTTTTTTTTTTCAGAAGGAAATCCAAAAGTGAACCTCCCACCTGTATCTGGCCTTTTTAACATCCCCAGAAGGGTGTGTTATCAGTGAATGAAGACTGGCAGCAGAGCAGCAGTGACATTGGCTGCTGTGTCCCTGCACACCCTGTCCACTCCCAGATATCTGAGTCTTCTGGCATCGTACACATGCGAGTTCTCACGCATCTGCATCCTGCTGACCCCTGACCATCACATCCAGGGGTTGAGCGGTATTCACGTAATGATACAGTTTGCACATGTAACTATTAGCTCCTAATGGGCACAGTATTCCTTTTGAGTTTCTATGTGCACAGCTCACTGTGTACCCAAATCCTACTGACAGTCATGTTCTACTATTCACCCAACAACTTTGTAAAGGAAGCTTACAGCTAAGACACTGTAACCTTTCAACATAATTTTGTACTTCTCACTTGCTTTGTAAGCAATTTGTACTGTGATGTGTCATATGTTGGTGCTATATAAATAACTGGAAATAATAGATTAACAATACAGGGCATTCATTTCATGGAATTAGTAGACTAAATGATTGAAACTAGGCTGATAAGGTATCTCCTTGAGAACAATAGATATATCAGCCCATCCTGAAACACACCACTATGTGTCATGGAAGATGGATAGAGGGGGGTTAGGTATGGTCAATTACTTCCTTTCCTCTTCTCAGTTAGAAAAAAAGGTAAGGTATGCCCATTGTACAGAGATTTCCCAGACAAGGTGTCCCATAACGAGTGATAATGATGGTTGAAAGTAATTGTTAGCTTCCCTCCCACTAGGATAGCCCTGGATGGTTCATTCTATACCAGATGTGACATATCTAGTAAAAATGGGCTATTTATAACTTGGGCCACATACACTACGATTTGAATGGGCAATGTCCTTTAGATTATTATTGTTGTTTTTATTATACAGTATTTATATAGTGCCAACAGTTTGCACAGCGCTTCACAATGTGAGGGCAAACAGTGCAATTACAATACAATTGAATACAGGAAGAATCAGAGGGTCCTGCTCGTTAGAGCTTACAATCTAAAAGGGGAGGGTAAAGTGATACCAAAAAGGTAATAATTGTGGAGTATGAGCTGATGGAGAAAATACACGTACAGTTGTTAGGAGGCAGGATAGGCTTCTTTGAAAAGTTTTCAGGGATCACCTAAAAGTGGACAGAGTAGGAGATAGTCGGACAGATTGGGGTAGGGATTTCCATAGAATGAGAGAGGCTCAAGAGAAGTTCTACAGGCAAGCATGGGAGGAGGTGACAAGGGAACTAGAGAGCAGGAGGTCTTGGGAGGAATTAAGAAAGCCATTTGGTTAGTATTTTGAGACTAGGTTAGTGATGTAGCTGGGGGCTGAGTTGTGGATGGCTTTGTAAGTTGTTGTTAGCATTTTGAATTTTAATTGTTGGGTGAGTGGCAGCCAGTGCAGGGATTTTCAGAGAGGGGTGGCAGGCACTAAACGGTTGGTAAGGTGGATGAGTCTGGCAGCAGCATTCATGATGTAAAGGTAAGCCAATGAGAGGGGAGTTGCAGTAGTCGAGGTGAGTGAACCTGGGAGTGAATTAGGAGCTTTGTCATTGGTTAGGAAGGGGCGTATTCTGGAGATGTTGTGGGGTTGAGGCGGCAAGCTTTGGAAAGTGATTGGATGTGGGGCTGAAAGAAGAGTTCGGAGTCCAGGATTACTCCTAGCACCCTGGCATGCGGGGATGGGTTGATGGTTGTGCCATTGATCTTGACAGAGAAGTCAGGGGAAGGGGCATTTGGAGGAGGAAATATTAGGAGACTGGTTATGGATAGATTGAGTTTGAGGAAATGGTGTGACATCCAGACGGATATGTCGGCCAGTAAGTTAGTGGTGAGTGAGGAGACTGATGTTGTGAGCTGAGGGGTAGAGAGATAGATTTGGGTGTCGTCAGCGTAGAAATGCTATTGAAAGCCATAGGAGGCTGTCAGCTGACCCAGGGAGGTGGTGTAGATTAAGAATAGGAGAGGTCCAAGAACAGAACCAAGTCTTTGGAGTGTGGAAGGAAGCTGGTGTACCTGGAGGAAACCCATGCAGACACAGGGAGAACATGCAAACTCCAGGCAGGTGGTGCAGTGGTTGGGATTTGAACCAACGACCCTATTACTGCCAGGTGGAAGTGCTAACCATTTAGTCACTGGGCTGCCCGCCATAGAACAGGATGTATGTTACTAATAGGATTGCCAAGTAAAAATATAGAAATAAAGCTGGATTAAAAAAATAATAATAATAATGCAGCCCCAACATTGAAGCACTGGTATGCTACAATAAATTACATTTCTGTTCTTGGGTTGGAACAGACTTTAATTAGCATTGTAAACTTACTGGTTCTTTAAGCTTCAGGTCTAGCTGCTCCATTTAACATTATCATCCTGAGGTCTGGTGGACACATGCCAGCAGCTGACCTTTCATGCATGCCGTCAAAACTTGGCATGGTGTTTGTAAAGGATGTAATACTTAACAGTGGCTTGTTGAGAGATAAAGCGGAATAAGCCAAAGCTGTGAAGAAATTAATGATGCTCTGAGCTGGTCACAGAGCAGATGAGGGTGTAATACTCTGCAGATTCAGCAGGCTGATTCATCCTCTGTTGTTAAGGGGTGTGAATGAAAAACAGAAGAACTGACACGTAACCATATAACCCCTCCAGGACTTGGATTCACAGCATTATGCTGCAAGTATACTGGCCGGAGTACAACACGCAGAAATGTGCTTTTATGTAAAAGGGGGTACCAACCCTAAATCTGCTCCATACAAATAAACACATCCAATAATAACAATTACAGATGTAAAATGTACATGCACGGCTTAACATATTGTACTCTTTAGGCCTCATTCACAAAGGCATATAGTCTGTGAATGGGCCATGCGTTTATGTGGCTGGAGCCACCAGGTGATGCATGTTCACCCTGTAGCCCATTCACATCTACCAACCCTAAACCTGCTCCATACAAAGAAACACATCCAATAATAACAATTACAGATGTAAAATGTACATGCAAGGCTTAACATATTTTACTCTTTATGCCTCATTCACAAAGGCACTGTGAATACATGTCTGTGGCTGGAACCAGGTGATGGCCATGCGTTCACATTATGTGAAACACATCCAATAATAACAATTACAGGTAAAATGCATGCAAGGCTTAACATATTTTACTCTTTATGCCTCATTCACACAGGCATACAGTCTGTGAATGGGCCATTTATGTGGCTGGAGCCACCAGGTAGCTCATATGGACATCTATGGAGATATAGCAGTTGCATGGACACAGCCACAGATTTTGCAAAAATATTGCCATTTTGGAGTTAACAGGGACACAATTAATAGGTGGAATGTGCTTTAAATAGATGCTGTTGCAGAAAGCTATTTGTGAAAGAAGGCAATACATACTCAGCTTTCCCAGTGGTCATGCCTCCGAACCCCTCTCTGATTGCTAGAACTGGACTTCAGGGAGTGCTGACCTCTCAGATCCTCTGCATCTCTCACTGGATCCTCCCTTTGACCTCATGTCACCCATGTTTCCTGGAGTAATAGAAGGTCAGAAGGAGGAGGCGGTGAGAGCTGTGGGGGGCCCAAAGGGGTTGACTTCAGGGTACCCGTTCTTGTGATCACAACAGTGTTTGGGGTGTGGGCCTCAGAAAAGGTGTATACTTTCCGTCTTTTTTTTATAGATTACAACTTTTCAACCCCCTCTGGGTGATTAATGTACGTTGAAAGGATTTTAACAAACTTGATACCTTTTGCTGCTCTGAATAAATAGCTGTTTGTTTCACTGGACAGATTGCAGTCAGATTCTGAATGGGAGGGACTAGTTCATTATAATCAGCTGGTAAACGCTCAGCATTCTAATGAGAAAAGCTGCATCCCTTTAGAAATATTTAACCCTTGGGGAGTTTCCTACCAAAACTGAAATTTCTATTGCACTCAGTGCCTAAAATTTGACTTGTATTTTAGTGCAAACGTCTGGGAAAATCAGTTAGCCAAAGATGAAATACACAAAAACAGAAAATAAACTAAACTACTCTAAAACACACAATCCAGTTAAAACAATCTAAAAAAAAAGTCACACTCTCTACATAAAGAAGAATTAAAATAATTTTGCTATAATCACTACATTCATCCCTAATAAGCTTAGAAAGTGCTCAGAAATGGTTATGGGAATTTTCTAAATAAACAGACCATGTCTTCTGCAAACCAGCACCAGATATTCATAAACATGAGAAAAGCTTGGCTGTCCAATTGATCAAGCTACAGTCAACTGGACTGGTTTTAGAAATGTGTCTGACTGCTACTGTTCCTGCAGAGGAGCTGAATGTGGAACTATCTGTCCAAGCCTTTCTTCCTATGTCCTTGAGGTGTCAGTTCAAGCCTTTACCAGTCTATAATAAAAGTATGAAAAAACACCCCCCAATTCTTGTAGAAGAGGGAAGGAGGGGTGGAGAGGAGGGAAGTTGCTGTAGAGCAGGGGTGTCAAACTGGTGGCCCTCCAGCTGTTGCCAAACTAAAAGTCCCATGAGGCATTGCAAGATTGACAGTTACAAGCATGACTCCCAAGCATGATGGTACTTGTAGTTTCGCAACAACTGGAGGGCCACCAGTTTGACATCCCTGCTCTACAGCAACTTCCCTCCTCTCCACCCCTCCTTCCCTCCTCTACAATAATTGGGTGTGTTTTTTTGTTTTTTTTTTATTTTTTTTTTTTTTTTTTTTTTTTTTTAAACAACAGCATGGCCCCCCCCGCCCCTTAATGCGCGTTATGAGAACCAGGAAAAGCCGGAAGGTGTCTTGATGATGTCACAAGCAAGATGGCGGCCCAGGACCCAGCGGTGTCTGTTGACAAAAGGATGTCAACTGGACAACGCTGGATCTGGTGGCTGGGTGTGTATCTGAACTGTGCTTAGAACACCAGCTAGGCAGGGGCAGACAAAAGGAAAATGTGTGTGGGGGGGGGGGGGTTACACTGAAGGTCCTCTTTAAAGCTCTGGTAAGCTGGTCCCATTGTTGCCTCAGGTGCTGGCTCTCACAGCTCTTATGTAGCAAAAAGTCAAGGCAGAGCCTCGCGCTGTCAAAATCAACCATGGTGCTTTATTCAATGTTGCTGCTGCGTTCCACCCCGCCTGGGCTTAATTGTAGAAGTAGGCCAATTGGGGTTAAATGCGTCAAAGGGGTGAGGTCTAGGCAGGGACTGTGTTTCTGAAGCCTGAAACATGGAATAAAGCACCATGGTTTGATTTTGACAATGTGCAGTCCACACCTTGCTCCTCCTTCCCCCTCCTTTCTAAAACAAAAAAGTGGGGTGTCCGTCCATGTCCAGCTCAAAGCTCATGTCTAAAGTCCTTTTGACTGCTCTCAGGAGACTCAAACAATTAAGCAGTTTAGAAAATCTGTCCCTAAAGCCTGGTACACACGGGTTAACTTTCAGTCCAGTCCATGTGTCTATTCAACAGAAGCTGGTCTAACGACCGCTTTCTGAGGAACAGGCTTCAAGTAGCATGGAAGTTGGGATCTCTACTGCTGTGCTATTGTATTCTGACAAGGGGACTCCACCCACTGTGCTGAAAAACCAGCATTCAATTAGTGCATGCAGCCAATGGCTGCAAGCACTGATCATTGTATTCTTGCGGGAGGGGGTGGAGTCCCCTTGTCAGAATAGAATAGCACAGCAGTAGAGATCCCAGCTTCCATGCTACTTGAATTGATGCATGGATCTGTAATTCTCTTTTTATTCTACCTGCTGGTTGAATGAAAGAACCTCGGTGTGTACCCAGCTTTAACACTATTGTTCCTCTCTGTGATAAACAGGATCTTTCAATTTGTACCCGTAATAACAAGCCCCCCTCGCTCGTAACTTATATAGCCAAGTTATTAACCTTTAAAGTAGAACTAAACCCTCCGTCCTTTACAGCCAAGGAATCTGCCATCTAAGGCTGGCCATAGACGGGCCGTTTATAGGCCGAATTGTCGGCCGACAAACAAAAAATCGGTCGTTGCTGCCATGGATGCTGCCACCAATGCTTACGAAAAATGCCCATTTTCTGTGGATTTTCCAGCATGACCGATAAAAAGAAACAAGAAGATCCGCGAAAAATGGCCGACGGCATTGCCCCACTAACGGTGTGAATATCGGCCGATTTTTCATTCGGACGAAAATTCGGCCGATAAACGACCCGTCTATGGCCTGCATTAGCTTCTGTTTGATCTGCAGTTGCCATGGTGTTGCACATGTTATCAGTTATGATGCCAGCCATTTGATGGTTGAGATCACAAGCATCTGTAAAGGTTACCGTTCACAGCATGCCTTGAATGTAACTGTTCTGGGAAGCAATTCAATTGTTGGGTGTAGTTCTGCTTTAAATGGCCTGCATGCTGCAATCAGTGCTCAAAAGAGATTACATCACATGTGGACATTGCCCACCCTTATGCAGGCCATAGACGGGTCGTTTATCGGCCGAATTTTCGTCCGACCAAAAAAAATCGGCCGATATTCACATCGTTAAGTGGGGCAATGCTGTTGGCCGTTTTTCACGGATCTTCTCGTTTCTTTTTATCGGTCATGCTGGAAAATCTACGAAAAACGTCAGTTTTCCGTAAGCATTGGTGGCAACATCCATAGCAGCAACGACCGATTTTTCGTTTATCGGCCGACAATTCGGCCGATAAGCGGCCCGTCTATGGCTAGCCTTAAGCTGGCCATAAATAAGTTCGTTTTTTTTTTTTATTAGCTGGCCGGCTAACAAAAAAACAAACAAAATCAACTGGATTCCCCAATCTACACATTCGGAAGGAGTTGATCACTAGGTCGACTCCTCTTGACTGGAAATGGCCATAGATAGCTAAAGATTTGGCCAGTCCCTGCTGAACCGCCCAAGTTTTGATCCATCAATGGCCAGTTTAAGTAGTGTTTTATACGATTACTTTGCCTTAATCATCTATATTATACCATAAAGCAAAGTCTTATAAATTATAACAAAAGAACCCACAAAGCATGCCAAACGCACACATATGGCTGCATTACTGACATAACAGTACAAACATGCGGTGACACACAGTATACGTACAAACCCCGAGTGTCTGAGGATCCCTGGAATGTAGCCAAAGCATTTATCACCGGCTGTATCTTTAGGGGTTTACAAAAAGATTAAAGATATATAAACAGACCTCACAGTGTCACTTTACTTCACTCCAGCAACTGAGTTTACTGGCTGCTGAATCACAGGCACTACGCCAGACATTATTAATAATGCAGCACAGCAAATCATGACAAGTACTATTACCTCCATCATGTGTGTACCCTGGTATACGTACACAGCACAGCAAATTATGACAAGTACTATTACCTCCATCATGTGTGTACCCTGGTATACGTACACAGCAAATCATGACAAGTACCATTACCTCCATCATGTGTGTACCCTGGTATACGTACACAGCAAATCATGACATGTACCATTACCTCCATCATGTGTGTACCCTGGTATACGTACACAGCAAATCGTGACAAGTACCATTACCACCATCATGTGTGTACCCTGGTATACATACAGAGCAAATCGTGACAAGTACCATTACCTCCATCATGTGTGTACCCTGGTATACATACACAGCAAATCGTGACAAGTACCATTACCTCCATCATGTGTGTACCCTGGTATACATACACAGCAAATCATGACAAGTACCATTACCTCCATCATATGTGTACCCTGGTATACATACACAGCAAATCATGACAAGTACCATTACCTCCATATGTGTGTACCCCTGTATACATACACAGCAAATCGTGACAAGTACTATTACCACCATCATGTTGAACCCATAACCTGTTAAAGATTCTGTATATACCCCTACAGAACACACCGTGCACAGTCCACATGTATTTATCTGCTGCTTCACTACACACAGGAAACAGGAACTTTGTTATCAAGAAAAGACATAGAGTTTAACCATAAATGCAGCTACAAACTTAAAAATACTGCCATCTACTGGCTGAAGAATATATCTCTACTGAATACTGATGTTGATGTAGTTGTACAAAAATACATGAACAATGTATTCCAACATTATCACATATGTGCCATGGTAGACGTACACAGCAAATTTCATGATACATTAGCAATTTGGAGCTCGTCAGCACAGAACTCCAGGTGCACAGTTTGATGCCCCACTCTATTGCCCTCCTTCATAATAACCCTTCCTGTAACCCTCGCACTGACGTTTCCAGTAAACCTAACACTTACACTGACCCTTCTTGTAACATAACCCTAACACTCACACTAACCCACTGACACTCCCTGTGACACCAACACTACCTCTAACTCTACACTATCCCTGTACCCCTCTGTGTAACTTAAATACTACCTCCCCGCAATCTAACATATATCCTTACACACACACACACACACCTATCCCATAATACTAACCCTAGCACTCTCTCTAAGCCTAGCCTTCATTCTGCCTATAACCAAATTACTTAACCCACATCTCCTAACACTAACACTCATAATAGATTGTAAGCTCCAAGAAGCAGGGCCCTCCTATCCCTCTTGTATTGAACTGTATTGGTCATGTATTGTCTCCGGTTATATTGTAAAGCGCTGAGCTATACAAATCCTGTATAATAATAATAATAATAATACTCCATTAATGCCCTACACTCACCCCTAATAGCCCATACATTATGATTACTTTTTCGTTCAACCAGTTGGTTGAACAAAAGAAAATACCTCGATTCCCACATCCACACATTCAATGTGAATGGGGTAATCCCTCTTACTGAGGTATTGTATTACGAAAGTGGGGAGCCTTCCCTTCCATCAGAATATAATGATCAGTGTTGCCGGCTATAGCTGGCAGCACTGATCATTCAGGAAAAACTCAACAGGCTGATTGTACACAAGTTGATTAATAGATTGATTTGTGTGCAACCAGCCTGCGCGTTTATGGATCACAATTCAGCCAGTCCCTGTTGAATCAGCTGAATTTCAGTCTACATATGGTCAGCCTAACTCATCTTTCTAATCTTAACACTAGCCTTTATGGTTCCCCTGCCTGTAACCTTAAGGTCCCTTTCATATGGGGCGGACTCTGCTTTGCTCAGCAGGAGATCGGACCGCTGAACCCCTGCTGCCGTTTGCTCCATTATGCATGGCCGCAGCTCCCTGTGCTCTATGGGCGGCCGGGTGTAAACGAACCAGCTGTGTGTTTACACTCGACTGCCCTTTGATCCGATCTACCTACATGGAGGGGAATGGATCTCCTTCCTTTTTTTAGTAGACTGGAACAGATTGGAGGTAGGTATAAACGGACACAAGTTTGTGTAAACTTCATGGAAGCAATGCATTGCCACAACACACACAGTAACCCACATAACATGTACAGCGCTGAGCAAACTATTGGCGCTATATAAATACTGTATAATAATAATAATAATAACATGCATTACCATATTACCATTCATTCTGAATGCCCTCCCTCCCCCCTAAAGTGCTCAAGAAACACACTTGCATTGTAGCAAGCCACTATGCATGGCAATGCAACAGTACTGCATTCTTAGCGTTGCAGGGGTTAATGCTGGCCATACACTGGTAGATTTTTATTACGTTCATACACAAAA